TGAAGTTGTTTTGCAACGGTGTCGTATTGGACACAGTCGATATACCCACGAGTATCTTTTAAAAGGTGAGGATCCCCCGTTCTGTGTCCCTTGTGATGAGAGAATCACAGTCAAGCATGTTTTGCTTGACTGTGTTGATTTTTCTCTCACAAGGGATAAATATTATCATTCAACATCTTTAACGGACCTTTTTTATAATATCAGTGCTCATTTAATTCTCGGTTTTTTAAAAGAAATACTATTATTTGATAAATTTTGAATTGTTTTAGAATAGTTGGATATTTTTGTCAACTGAGATGTATGTAGGCAGTGCCACTGTGGGGGTTAAAGCAGTGTAAAATTATTGTCCCCTGACAGTGGCACGTGAGTCCATATATATTGAAGTAATTAATATCAACTAGTGTTTTAATTCCTTTATTGTGTTTTGTTTTTTAATATTGGTTAATATTTCATACAACCACTCGTGACCAAAGTGATGGCATAAATCCTGCTGGGAATCATGCAGGAAGCAAAAGCACTGTAAGTCCCCATGATCCCCAGTTAGGTGGTCTAGCTTTAGTCGCCAGTGCTCTCTAGCCAGGTTTTACTTTCTAATAACTGTATTGAAAACGTCTTTGTTTTACTATTGCTCAGGTAAGTTTTATGTCTCCACTGTGATAATTACCTTACTGTTTTACTGTCCTTTGACGACAGAAATTTTAATATAATCAATTTGTTCTCATCGCGATATGGCTGCAATATTGCCGATGCGATGTAAAACTATAACTCACTCACTCACTCACTAATCCATCAAGAATTAATTAGCAGTGAAAATCGAGTTACATGTCACTGATATATGATAAATACCTTGATGCAGTTATACATTTCAGTGGAATGTATATCATATGGATTTACTGACTATATTGGTGCAAAACATCATGGAATCCTGTAAGCATGTCAAGTTTTGATTAAACAAGGTTTGGACTACCTGTGGGATGTGATTCTGACCAAGACCATGCATCCTTGGTGGGATCCAACACAAGTTTCCCACCCACTGGGATCTCAAATTTCCCACTGGGATCCCACAGAAATTTCCTCTAGGGTTATGTATATGTCAAGTATTTCGGGAATGTATACACTTGTATATAGCTGTAGAACATTGAAGACAGGTAATTATCCATTTATTTTACATTTAATGCACTTAATTATAATATAAATGACCATAAAAGTAAAAAATATAATTTTAAAGGTTAAAATATGCAAAGTCACAAGACCGCTACTTCCTCGGCCTATAAATAGATTTTCTAGATCTATCTGACAGCTTGTCAATAATTATTTAGCAGTGTCTTTGAAGACATCTATGCGTATAATAAGATCTTATTGATAGTTTTAGGTACATGGTATACAAATGCACATGCATTCATAGTTGTTAAACAATACTTGAGAAAGTAACAAATGTTATATTTTGGATAACACTTTCTTTGTAAAGTACAGATTCTGGAACTTTTTGGGGTTGAGTCCCGTCCGTGGTTCGAGCCCTTTCTGCCAGAGTGAGGCACCTAATCGCCAGCACACAAAGTCAGCGATCTAACCCACTCAGCCTCCGAGGCTTCCACAAAGAGAAAGTCCGACAACTGGTAGTATAGATCACGTACTTTGTGTACCCCTCTGACAAGTGTAAATTGGCACGGCTCCCATGGCCGAACGCTATGAACACACAATGCCTCACTCTGGCAGTGTCGGTTCGAATCCCGGACGGGACTCAGCCCCAACAAAAGTACGAGAAACTGTACTTTACAAAGAAAGTTTTTATCCCAAATATAACATTTGTTACATTTGACCACTTTCTAAATGGCATTGTGTGTTCTTAATAGTTACCAATGTTTTAAAATCCAGGACCCGTGAATATCCGTAGTCTTCGGCAACCCATGCTTGTCATAAGAGGCGACTTGTTGAGGCGAGGTCTTGTTTGATGTATGTCATCTTATCCCAATCAAGGAAGGACTTTTTTCTACATTCAAAGAAGACCCGTGAAAATCCGGGGTAGAATAGGTCTTCAGCAACCCATGCTTGCCGTAAAAGGCGACTATGCTTGTCGTAAAAGGCGACTAACGGGATCGGGTAGTCAGGCTCGCTGACTTGGTTGATGCATGTCATAGATCCCAGTTGCGTGGATCGATGCTCAAAAAATTAATCACTGGATTGTCTGGTCAAGACTCGATTATTTACAGACCGCCGTCATATAGCTGGAATATTGGTGAGTGCGGCGTTAAACAACAAACCAACCAACCAACATTCAAAGAAAATATTTGAGACAAGTAGAATTAATACCATGTGGATTCTCAAAACATCAAAGAATTTGCTGATTTTTTACAATCTCAGAAAAGAACCATTTTTCAACTTTGTACACCACTATCCCACATGACTTCAGGAAAAACTTCATTCATGATCCATGGGGCTTTTGTAACAAAATATGGTGATCATAGATATAGTTACATATTTTTTTTTTTTTTTTTTTTTATTTTTTTTTTCAAAACTGAGACAAATTTAATAAAATAAATTAATATGGAAAAACTGAAAGATGATATCATCTAGACACTCCATGACAGGTGACTGAATAAAACAACTGAACCACATTTGAGCTCACCACATACTTATTAGATAATTTTAAAACTATAATTGTTTCGTATATGCACTAACTGTCGAAAATGTCCAAAATTGAAAGTATCCAAAAGGTTTGTCCGAAAGGTCCCAAAAGGGAAAGTACACCAAATGTCCACTGTGATAGTAGGTGCCATTTCAAACGTCCACCTAACACACAGTGAAGAGACTCTTCAGGAAAGAAAACACAGTAGGCACACATGATCGTGGCTGCCTCAGGGCTTCTTCGTCCACAAGAATAATCTCCATATAGGCAGTGCTGGTAGGGGCTGGGACAGGGGTCAGGGGGTTGGGCAGGACAGATGGGGTTGATGCGGATCATCCACTCAGTATCAGGGCACTGGGAGGGGAGACAGAAAAGGCAAGTGTTTAATTGTGATTTGATTTCACCAAGTGACAGTAAACAAAACCCCAAACAAAGTAATGGCAGATATATGTTACATGATTGGCCAATACATTTGTTATAAGCTGGATAAAAAGGATGCTACAGATGTCCACGAATGTACATCACAAACAGGTTGTGTCCCTACAAGGGACCTACTGGGTGGGGGACATGAAGAACTGTTGGGGAGACTGCCTTGGGACATCCTTTCTTGTAGAGCTTGTCTTGACCTTGGTGGTAAACCCTGGCAGCACTTGCATACATGATGCAGAAATCACCAGATGGGAGAAACACAGAGCGAAATTAGAGCAGAGACGTGAGATTTGCAACTGCAATAAACAACAAAATGGCGTCGTTTTCTATAGTTACATATCGACCCGTGAAGATTCCGGGGTAGAATAGGTCTTCAGCAACCCATGCTTGCCGTAAGAGGCGACTGATGGCATCGGGTGATCAGGCTAGCTGATTTGGTTGGTTGGTTTTTTGTTTAACGCCACACTCAGCAATATTCCAGCTATATGACGGCGGTCTGTAAATAATCGAGTCTGGACCAGACAATCCAGTGATTAATATCATGAGCATCGATCTACGCAATTGGGATCGATGACATGCATCAACCTGCTGACTTGGTTGATTGATGCATGTCATCGTATCCCATCGTATCGATGCTTATGATGTCAATCTCTGGCTTTTCTGGTCCAGATTCGATTATTTACAGATCGCCTTCAGATATAGCTGTAATATCGCTGAGTGCGGCGTTAAACAACAAATTAACAACATATCTATTTTCAGACTGAGGTTCAAGCAAATTTGTATAACAACGAAAGCAAGTGCAATCTGAAGTTTACTGAGAAAACAACATGTGAAATGCTTATTAATAACAGCTATATATTATTTGGGGGTAAGACATTAAGGCAAGAAGTAAATATCCCCATGGGCACCAGCTGCGCTCCCCTTCTTGCTGATCTGCTTCATTATGCTTTGTTTGTTTGTTTGTTTCTTGTTTAACGCCGCACTCAACAATATCCCTGCTATATGCCGGCGGTCTGTAAATAATCGAGTCTGGACCAGACAATCCAGTGATTGAAATGCGCATCGATCCACGCAATTGGGATATGATGACATGTATTAAACCAAGTCAGCGAGCCTGACCACCCGACCCCGTAATCGCCACTTACGACGAGCATAGTCGCCTTTTACGGCAAGCATGGGTCGCTGAAGCATGTGGATTAGAATTTCTGCCCAGATTGGCAGTCAGTGAACATAAGCTTCAGATATATCGATGATCTGATATCGTTCAATAACCATCATACAACCAATTCCCTTCCACTGATTTACCCACCTAAACTGGAAATAAAGTGAGAACGCTTCATGTGTTTCATGTTTAGATCTTTGCATAAAGATACAGAGTGACAAAACACTCCACAAGACTGTATGACTTGAACTTTCCAATAGTCAACTTTCCCTTTATATCGAGCGATATACCTGCAGCTCCGGCCTTGGGTTCACAACTTTGGAGGTACAGTCGAGCATGCTGATGCGAGATTTCATAGAGCGTCATACAACTCTTGCTCAGAAGTTGTTACAAACATTGTGTCAGGTGTAATACCCTATTTTGACTTGTACCGTATGTTCCCGTGTTGTTAAGGTAAACAATTGACTTGTCTTTGCATGTGTTTGTGACGCATGCCACCAGTTGGGCAGGATACCCTCACCTGGCACCCGTGAAGATCCGGGGTAGAATAGGTCTTCAGCAACCCATGCTTGTCGTAAAAGGTGACTTACGGGATCGGATGGTCAGGCTCGCTGACTTGGTTGATGCATGTCATCGTATTCCAATTGTGTGGATCGATGCTCATGATGTCAATCACTGAATTGTCTGGTCCAGCCTCGATTATTGACAGCCGTCATATAGCTGGAATGTTGCTGAGTGCGGCGTTCAACAACAAACCAAACCATACAATCGACTCGGTTTTTGACAAAGATGATCATGGAAAGGGTTTTTAACGCTTTTATTTACATTATTTTAATACATTTCATCATCTCCCTGGTAATATCCAGCGTGGGCATTATCCGATGATAGACCCAGTGCATGTAGCCGGATGTGATGTGCTGTGATACTGTGGTATAGCTGGAAGACAACAGACGAATAAGATTCATATCACAAATGATATGTCCCGCAGGGAGTCTTGGATAGTTTGTCTCTGTACCCACGTGCCTCCTGGAGATCATGAATGAATTGTACCCTATTTGTACTCCATACTAAAAGGTCAGATGCATGAATTTTCTTTCTGTGGTCTAAAAAGCTTACTGTGAGGTTGTGCAGGTTTTTAGATGGTTATTGATTAAGGATATACATTTAGGAATGGTTAGGTTGAAGCTTGTGACGTTCAAACCAGCAAGCCAGCAAATACCATATACATGTACCTTGCTGCATATATTTAGGTCCCATGGGTTGCCGTGGTCCTACGGCGTTGATATCGATAGGCTGGGGAACTGATGTTTGTTTGGCCCAGGATTCCGCTGCACACCGGAACCGGAAGTCATATTCACCAGGAGACCAAAACTCAGCAGGACTCGCCTGAAAACAAAATCAATAAAGCAAACTTAACAGAGACACTGTTGCAGATGGACCTTGCTTTCGAAATGTCACGCTTGCATCCCAAGTACCAAGTTGATCTTGTTCTTTTTCATAAACCCAATGAAATCATTTTATATCATTGAACCTCCTGTCCCTTTTGGCACCAATGTTATTGATAAGATTCAGGAGAAACGTGGCAAATATGCGGACCTCGCTTTCGAAATTAACGCTTGCATCCCAAGTACCAAATTGTCCGACTCCTTATTGTTCTCGCGGCCTTAGGTTTGGTACATCCCAATCTGTTGACTGACATTGGGAGAGTACCCGGGTTTGTTCCCAGGAATACAACCCTTTTGACAATCTGGGTAATGTAGAAGGCTGCAGTGTCTTCACATTCTTCGAAAGGTCATTGTAAAAATGAATGAATATTTTACCTGTTCAAGGAAGGATCAGTGTTCATTCAAACTGAAATCCGGGGTAGAATAGGTCTTCAGCAACCCATACTTGCCGTAAAAGGCGACTATGCTTGTCGTAAAAGGCGACTAACGGGATCGGGTGGTCAGGCTCGCTGACTTGGTTGATACATGTCGTTGATCCCAGTTGCATTGATCGATGCTCATGCTGTCAATCACTGCTGGATTGTCTGGTCCAGACTCGATTATTTACAGACCGCCGTCATATAGCTGGAATATTGCTGAGTGCAGCGTTAAACAACAAACCGACCATACTGCCTATTAGGCTTATATCAAATTTGCATTCACGTAACCATCTCATCCTACCGGGTACCCATTTGCTGATGGGTGATCAGAGGCATGAAACATCATGATAAAGTAGACTTTAAAAACGTTTAAAACGCTAATAATCGGTTTCGAATTTCTGGCGATTCAGCGTGAACAGAATTTTAAGAAAGCTTGAAGTCTAACCTTAAAGTTGTCATGTATGTCGTAGTATTCCTTCTTGTTAAGACCAGTGCCATGGTATTCAACGATATTTGGCCCTCGCTTGTTGTAGAAAACGTTGTCGTAGATCTGATTGCCTTCATACAAGACACACAGTGAGTGGGTAAAACGTTGTCGTAGATCTGATTGCCTTCATACAAGACACACAGTGAGTGAGTGGGTAAAACGTTGTCGTAGATCTAATTGCCTTCATACAAGACACACAGTGAGTGAGTGGTTAGGTAATGGGGGGAGTGGGTGACACCAAGAATGAGCCACGAGGTTATTTAACTTCGACTAAGTCAACAGCACATGCATCCTTGAAACGTTACGAAGTGGTTTGTCAGCACTGTGACTATTCTTTCGCGGGTGATAACACCATAATGAACCACTGATATGTGTGGTTTCTGTCTTACCCATTGGATACATAGGATGATAGCACCACAACGAGTCACTGATATGTGTGGTTTCTGTCTTACCCATTGGATACATAGGATTATAGCACCGTAACGAGTCACTGATATGTGTGGTTTCTGTCTTACCCATTGGATACATAGGATGATAGCACCACAACGAGTCACTGATATGTGTGGTTTCTGTCTTACCCATTGGATACATAGGATTATAGCACCATAACGAGTCACTGATATGTGTGGTTTCTGTCTTACCCATTGGATACATGGGATGATAGCACCATAACGAGTCACTGATATGTGTGGTTTCTGTCTTACCCATTGGATACATAGGATGATAGCACCATAATGAGTCACTGATATGTGTGGTTTCTGTCTTACCCATTGGATACATAGGAAGATAGCACCATAACGAGTCACTGATATGTGTGGTTTCTGTCTTAACCATTGGATACATAGGATTATAGCACCATAACGAGTCACTGATATGTGTGGTTTCTGTCTTACCCATTGGATACATAGGATGATAGCACCATAACGAGTCACTGATATGTGTGGTTTCTGTCTTACCAATTGGATACATGGGATGATAGCACCATAATGAGTCACTGATATGTGTGGTTTCTGTCTTACCCATTGGATACGTAGGATGATAGCACCATAACGAGTCACTGATATGTGTGGTTTCTGTCTTACCCATTGGATACGTAGGATTATTGGAGTCGATGGTGGCTAGTTTGGGGTACCTCTCTGACCACGGCTTGGTCTTGTATGGAAACACCTGAAATCAACGAGTATTGGATGACGTGACTGTAACTTGCTCCACAGATGTGATGACGTTGGAGCGTAAAATGCCTCACGACATGACAGGTTTATCGCTAACCACGATATTTATATAACTCGAGTTATCGGGACATTCGTCCAAAAGAGTTACATCAAAAGCTGGGCCCGTCAAGATCCGGGGTAGAATAGGTCTTCAGCATGCAATGCTTGTCGTAAAAGGCGACTATGCTTGTCGTAAGAGGCGACTAACGGGATCGGGTGGTCAGGCTCTTTGACTTGGTTGATGCATGTCATCGATCCCAATTGCGTGGATCGATGCTCATGTTGTCAATCACTAGATTCTCTGGTCCAGACTCGATTATTTACAGAACGCCGCCATATAGCTGTCTTATTGCTGAGTGGGGCGTTAAACAACAAACAAACAAATCTCAGCGAGTTTGACGTCGAGGTGAAGATAAATTGAGTGAGTGAGTGAGTTGGGTTTAACGCAGCTCTGAACAGTGTTCCAGTTATATCACGGCGTGTTAGCGGGATGTGGGAGGAAAGCCCGAAGCCCGAAGTGATGCAGGTCTCAGACGTTTACCACTTTAGTGAAACCCAAGAGCACGGGTATGGTGCTGACAAACCTAGAAACATAATCGGGGAGACCCGGGAGGTGACTATAAGATAATGGCATCCATCTAGATGTGACTAATCAATAACCGACATTTTTTACAAGAGATGATATTTTTCTTTCCTAAACAATATCACTTAATAATGTACACCACATATACTATCCAACGGACTGGAGAGTGGAAGGTCGGGGGTTCGATCCCTATAAAACTAGAGAGAGAAACTTGCTCCTGGTTATGCGTGCCTAATGACTTAGATATCACTACCTTAAGTCTGTTAAATAGCGTCACTTTGTTGCTGTCATGCAGGATACCACGGCCGTCCACGTTGAGGGGGAAGTTTACAGCGTCGTAGAAAACATTGTAGCGTATGATGTTGTCACGGCCGCCTCCGATGTTGGCGTGGTATTGGTTCTGTCATAAAACATTATGTTGATGGTTGCATGAGATCTTGCATCCTCCATTAAGCAAAGTAGTATTATACTACTCAAAAGAAGTTAAAGAACGCACAATTCTTTCTATTCCTCTCTGTTTTCATTCTGAATGAAAATATGGATGCCGAACTGTTTCAGAAGAGACATTTGATTGACTGTTATTTTGAATCTTAATTCTGTGCTAATTGTAGCGAATGAGTCCAGGTATTTCCCCTAAGGGATAATACGTTGAATAATCGAGAATCGTGACTGTCATGGTTGTTCCTTTGACCGATACTAGTCATTTATTCATCTTCAGAAACATTTTCTTCATTTAGAACGCATCTGTAGTTAATGTACCTAAATATGTTTTACTTTCATCAAGTTTTCCTTACTATATTTTTAACATATGTTAAAGGGGGACTCAGATACCCAAACAAATAGGTGTATAAAGCCGTGTAGATTTAAAAATAAGAAGACAATGGAAACAATATCTGGCTCAATACAACACCTATAATGGATAAAACTATTTCGGAAAGCATTCGGAGTGTGCCTTAAGAGTAGAAGATCATAAGAGTGAGTGAGTTGGGTTTAACGCCGCTTTTAACAATAGTCTAGTTATATCACGGCGTGTCAGCTTAATGTGGGAGGAAAGCCCGAAGTGATGCGGGTCAGACGTTTACTACTTCGGTGAAACCCACGAGCACGGGTATGGTGCTGACACGCCTAGAAACATAATCGGGGCGAACCGGGATTCGAATCCACAATCATAGGTTTCTGGCGTGCTCAAGGGACGCTATTCTGCACAGCGAATCGTGGCGCCTTAGACGACTGGGCCACCCGTGCCCCTCGAAGATCATTAGATGGAGTTCTATTCCCCACCAACCCTGGTATCATGATGACAAATCAAGAATAACAAGCATGACATATTCATATCCCCCGCCAATATGACATGTCCGGGTGTGTGCAATGCATTAGCTCCTGTGAACTATGTTCACTGGACCTTTTTGTTAATGGCGTAATTGCAGCACTAAAAAAGTTATTACTGGTGTTGTTTTACCATCTGCAGTTTATGATATGATACGTAACTCTATTTTTAATTGGTTGTGCTATTACTTAAACAATAGTCAGAGAAGTAAGGGAGTTCTTACTTCACTTAGAGATTAAGGAGAGCAGGGGTCACCATGAGTTGTACTGAGAAGTACAGCACCAATCATCTGGTGATCTGAGTAGTAGACTGGAGTCCAGTATAGCTCCAAGACAGTGAGTTGGTGAGTGAATGAGTTGAGTCATTATCCGCACATTAAAGAAATCATAGATTTCACTTAGATCATAGTTGAAATCCCCAGTAACTAGGACATGTTCACATTCATGCTGCTTGGAGAGATCCTGAAGTTTCAATCAATCAATCAATCAAGGTTTATTTCAGAAGAAAGGCCATTGGCCCACGTTCAATAAATTACAAAAATCAATTTTGAGACAGATTGCGTTTTGTCTAACAAATAGAGAGTTGTATATAAACTTTGCACAATTAATCAACATCAATTGCAAATCCTGAAGTTTCTGCATGAAATGAGTAAGTGAATGTGACAAACACGTCAATGACACTTTTGGAGGAACATACACACAAGCAATGCAGAACTTGCCAACAAGAAAGGAAATGTATTCAATACTGCGAGATGACATTACATCACATAGCTGGACACTGTTCTTTAAACATACACAGCAATACCATGTGTAGTGTCTCCTGGATAGACTTGATATCCTGGCAGGTTTCTTTCAATGTAATCATTGATGTGTGCTTCTGTGAAACACAAAACATCAAGCACACCAACAAACTTACACTGCGAGGAAATGGGCTGGTTTGAGTGCCCCTGTTCATGTTACCGGCATGCACTGCGAGGAAGTAGGCTGGTTCAGGGTGCCCCTGTTCATGTTACCGGCATGCACTGCGAGGAAGTAGCCTGGTTCAGGGTGCCCCTGTTCATGTTACCGGCATGCACTGCGAGGAAATGGGCTGGTTTGGGTGCCCCTGTTCATGTTACCGGCATGCACTGCGAGGAAGTAGGCTGGTTCAGGGTGCCCCTGTTCATGTTACCAGCATGCACTGCGAGGAAATGGGCTGGTTCGGGTGCCCCTGTACATGTTACCGGCATGCACTGCGAGGAAGTAGGCTGGTTCGGGTGCCCCTGTTCATGTTACCGGCATGCGCTGCGAGGAAGTAGGCTGGTTCGGGTGCCCCTGTTCATGTTACCGGTACCCACTGTGAGGAAGTAGGCTGGTTCGGGTGCCACTGTTTATGTTACCACCATGAATGCGATGAAGTAGGCTGGTTCTTCTGCCCCTGTTCATGTTACCGGCATGCACTGCGAGAAAGTAGGCTGGTTCGGGTGCCCCTGTTCATGTTACCGGTGCCCACAGAGGAGGTAGGCTGGTTCGGGTGCCATTGTTTATGTTACAACCATGAATGCGATGAAGTAGGCTGGTTCGGGTGCCACTTGTAAATTGAGTTTTCACAATAATTCACCATATGCCTTGACCAAGTTCCTTTGTCAAGTGGTATACATCTCAATTATGGTAAGGGTTCTCAGACAACCCTGCGTGGATGTTTTTGTTGAATATGTAAACGGTTTCCGAGTTATGCTCTTGCTAAGTAAACATTCGGTAATACTCCCAAACTATCAAAAGGCACAAGTTTACCACTAGACCTATTTATATGCCAATTTTGGAAGGAATATTGTACGGTTTTCAAGATCTGTGCCAAGTTTGATGATTTTCAGTGTAAGCCAAAGTCATTGCCATGGAAACACTTCTTTTTTTTAAATCCCAAAGTATCAAAAGGCACCAGTTTTCCACTTGACCTATTTATGTGACAAGTTTGATGAAGAAATATTGTATGTTTTTCAAGATCTGCTCCGGAAACGAGGACTACCGCCAGTTTCAGTCTAAGTTCAAGTCGTTGCCATGGAAACTCGAAAAATATATTTTTTTAAAATTCCAAACTGTCAAAAGGCATCAGTTCACCACTAGACCTATCTATGTGCCAAGTTTGGTTAAGATATCTCTTTTGCACCAGAAACGAAATATGACGGACGGACGGACGGAAAGACGGACGGACGGCACCCATTCGTATATCCCCCTTCCACTTCGTGGCGGGGGAAAATAATCAGGGAGAATCGAGGATTGGAATACACGATCTGCAGATCCTGGCACGGGTAAGGGGTGCAAAGCTGTATCTTACAACTTACTCGTGTTTGTGACAAACAAGACTGAGAGAACAGGAGGACGGGTCGGGAGACATGGTGACCCCACTCGTTTACCTGGTAGAAGACGTTGTGTTCGATGAGGACGCCGGAGAACTGGTCGTCCAGCATGATGCCCCTGTTCTCCGCTCCCGGCATGTTCTTCACAACGTTGTGGATGTAGTTGTATCGGATCCTGGTACCACGCTGCAGATTGGATCGGCATGAATTAAAACAAGCATTGTCATCAGAACGGGTATTACTGATAGGCTTTTTACAGTGTCAGATGCCACTTTTGAACACCGTTATGTGAAGATTTTTTTTTATCTTTTACAAACCTATTACATGTTATATTCCGACGCAAAGTGGGGCTATTCTGGCAGCTAGGAATGGGAAGACTAACCGAAATGGGTCAATTTTAGCCAGGTCGAATTTCGTGATGGAGAGATAGTTATTCTGAACATATATTGCTGTTACTGGGGAGTTATTTTAAACCTTTTGCACCGTAAGTTCAACTTCAAACGTAACTTAACTATTGTTTTTTTAATAAAGTGTCTTGAGAAATACATTAGCTCCACGTTCTTTGCCGCAATTTTCTACAACTTGTCACCCTAAAAATTGAAAATGTCATTTTTATTCTGTATTTCCATGAAACGACATAGTTCAGTCTAAGAAGCGCAATGTAGGCAACATTATGCAATACAATTACATATATGTCTATGTAAGGTCATTTAATCATTTCTTTCGGACGTTTTGTAACCAGTTGCTGTAACCAGTAATCAAACTTGAATTTGAGTAATATTTGTTACGTTATCACTAAATGTGACGATATTTCGAACTATTCCAAGACGGCTAGCCTCGTTACTCATGTGTAGTTACCATTTTCAAAGCGTTCTTTACGTCTAGAGATAAATTGCAATTCAAGGTAATTTAACTCAATCTGTGGTTAGATTATTTCAAATTTCAAAACCCAGAAGGTTTATCTCGTCACTGTATAAAATAACACCTTGTGTTTTCTAGCTATTCGCTAACTATAAATAGTTGAACGGATTTACTCACTGCGGACCAATCTCTCCCTGCAATTATCCCGCCGCAATCAGTACTGTTCACACACATGTGGTGGATGTGGTTGTATTCAACTGTGTTGTCGTTACCCTGGCAATCAAAAGGTTGTGAGTTGGAACACAACGTCTATACTCCTCTGGTTTGAATACACCACGTTCACACCCTCCATGTATTTACGGGTGATGGAGAAACACTACGTTGGGATCATGTTGATAACCGTGAAGATCCGGGGTAGAATATAGGTCTTCAAAACCCATGCTTGCCGTAAAAGGCGACTATGCTTGTCGTAAGAGGCGACTAACGGGACTAGGTGATCAGGCTCGCTGACTTGGTTGATGCATGTCATCGATCCAAATTGCGTGGATCGATGCTCATGATAACAATCGCTGGATTGTCTGGGCTCGATTATTTACAGACCGCCGTCATACAGCTGGAATATTGCTGAGTGCGGCGTTAAACAACAAACAAACAAAGAAGCACCATACCCGTATTCGTACGCTTCACCAAAGTAGCAAATAACCGAGATTGTCTGCATCGAGCTGGCGCGCTGTGATATAACAAGCTAGTGGCATAAAACCATACTCACTCATTAACTCGCTAATGACTAATGACACAATGAAGATATAGGGGGTATAGTAGGTCTTCAGCAACCCATGCTTGCCATAAAAGGCGACTATGCTTGTCGTAAGATGCGACTGACGGGATCGGGTGGTCAGGCTCGCTGACTTGGTTGATGCATGTCATGGTATCACAATTGCGAGGATCGATGCTCATGATGTCAATCTTTGGATTTGATGTGTCTTAAACAACGTGTTATATGTCCCGACTGAGTTACTTTAGAGTATAAACTATATACATTCGTATTCATTTAGCGTACCGCCAACCACATGCCGGTGTATTGGCCGTCATGGAGGTGGTTGTGACGGGCTACGTTACCGATGCCGTCGAAAAACACAGCGTTGTAACCAACGCCTCCGACACGACCAAACTGCCAAATGTGGTTGTCTTCAACTAGGTTGCCAGATGGCGTTAACGTCATCCGGTCTCCACCTGTAAGTGTACCAAACATAATGAAAAACATCAACAACAAAACAAAACAACAGCGTCTTTAGTTTTCTTTGTTTCGGCGAAACGAAGTTGTACAAACAACAAAAACTGTGCGAACTGACCTCTGGACCTGACCTCAAGAACTATCATAATTTAATTGCTGCAATTATAAACTCGGAATTCTGAACGATAGGTTGTCTTCAATAGATGATTTACGGTATATACAAGAACATTAATCGTAATTAATGAAGAATGTATGCTATTTATTGTGACTGACTGACTGAGTATGGTTTTACGCCGCTTTTAGCAATATTCCAGCAATATCACGGCGGGGGACACCAGAAATGGGCTTCACACATTGTACCTATGGCTATTTATTGTGATTTTTGTCTAAACCGGCAAAGTTACGAAGTTCCAGCAGACCCACGGAACCAATGGCATAATGTATTCTCGGAGTTCCTGGCAGTGACGTCAGTGATCAGGATATGCCACTGGATATTCAGTTCCAGGTGACAATGTCCGAGAGTATTCAGACTCCAGGTGTTCGCGAAAAGGGCAAGCAAGTAAGAATGGTTGGTTGGTTGGTTGGTTGGTTTGTTGTTTAACGCCGCACTCACCAATATTCCAGCTATATGACGGCGGTCTGTAAATAATCGAATCTGGACCAGACAATCCAGTGATTAATATCATGAGCATCGATCCACGCAATTTGGATCAATGACATGCATCAACCAAGTCAGCGAGCCTGATCACCCGATCCCGTTAGTCGCCTTTTACGACAAGCATAGTCGCCTTTTACGGCAAGCATGGTTGCTGAAGACCTATATTCTACCCCGGATCTTCACGGGTCCCAAGCATAATGTATTCTCGGAGTTCCTGGCAGTGACTACTAGTGATCAGGATATGCCCCTAGATATTCAGTCCCAGGTGACAATGTCCGAGAGTATTCAGACACCAGGTGTTCGCGAAAAGGGCAAGCAAGTAAGAATGTGTTTGTTGCCTGACACCGCACAGCAGTACTCCTGCCATGCGACGGCGGCTTGTAAACAAACCAGACAATCAAGTGATTGGCCTGAATGTCTAGTAACTCGATAGTGTGTTTACTGATTTTGTTAAAACTGAAATGGAAATTATGAATTATGCCCAATTTTGAATTTAGAAAGATCTTATTAACATCTCTCACAAGTTGAGATCCGGGGTAGAATAGGTCTTATGCAACAATGCTTGCCGTAAAAGGTGACTATGATTGTCGTAAGAGGCGACTAACAGGATCGGGTGGTCAGCCTCGCTGACTTGGTTGATGCATGTCATGGTATCCCAATTGCGTGGATCGATGTTCATGATGTCAATCACTTGATTGTCTGGTCCAGACTCGAATATTTACAGACCCTCGTCATATAGCTGGAATATTGCTGAGTGTGGCGTTAAACAAACAACAAACAATTTGGACACACAATGGCCAATGGTTTAAGAGAAGTAGCAGTTATTTTATTTCACAACTTCACAAATTACGGCGGCCATTTTCAGTGTTTCAAAATGAAAAGTTTACATCATTTTAGCTTGGGACAGAGACAAAATGTTATGTGAAAATGATACTGATGTGATCAATAGATTAAAGTGGCACTGATCTAAGGCAATTCCCCGGGACTGGTTGTTGCCTTTGTTATTGTTTTTTCCCAGTGAGTACCCGGATGAAGAGCAGAAATCTAGGCTAGTTCGCGACCTCTGCTGCGCCATTCGTAAGCGCATTAGTCATTTTTATGGGTAGTAATAAGGGCGTATGGTCACATTGATCAACAAAATGAAATACAGTTTTCGAGATAATAAGGAAATGTAGGTATCTTTGTGGGTAGCATCGGTAATGATGACGAAGTTTTGATATGTCACTTGCTTGGTATTTTGCGGTTTTCGTTTACACTATTTTGACTTGCAACACAAAGTAAATATTTCACCTGAGCATTGCTTTTTTTATAGTGTGTATATCTTTTTACTGTCAAAATGTGTAACATTTTCAAATTTATTAAACGCCTAAATATTCAGTTATTTTACAAAGTGACTGAAAAACAATTCCATCTGTATTATTATGATAACGAATTCCAAACATTTTGATGTTTAATGTCATCACCAAGAGACTGAAAATGTTACGTTGAAAAGTACATTTCTATGTTGTTTGGCTTCTCATCCTACATAATAATCTGTTGTGATGTTTTTAGGCCCGTTGGATCGTCTTAATCAATTTTAGTCAATCTGGACAGATTTTTCAGTCAAAATGCCTGAAATATTTACACATTTTATAAATTGCCTGAGAGAATCACATTTTACAAATTGACGGTAATATATACACGCTTACAAAGGAAAACAACGTCTATCGCGCATTGAAGAATTTCCCAAACAAGATGTAGAGGAACAAGAACGAATCGGTTCAATGCTACAGCAAATGAAGGAAAACAAAATGTAAATACCATAATTACAACCTACCAAATTTATGTGTATAAATTTTAGGCAGCTTCCTTGTTCGAGGAATGTATCCGTGAATATCCACACAAAGGAACAATATCCTACTCGTCTGCAGCTGTACAAAGAAACTTATTCGATGTCACGTGTCTCTGTAACAATCAAATATTTTAAAAGATATATATCGTTTCGGGATAATTATAACCCGTTTTCGTTTGTCAACTGATCACTTAGATTGTTTCAGGTGTTTCACATAGGTGTCAAGTCTCAAGGGTCGGCTGAGAAAGCCCACGTGACAACTATTTTCATAACGTCCACGGTTCCTAAAAAATCCATAAAGTGATAGATAACAATGAGCAATCAATCAACGTATTACCAGTTAACCCTTTGAACAAAGTATGTTGTTTTTACATCGGCACTTCACGCCATGATATGAGTATTCCCTTTGTTTTAGTAAACCTAGACATGTAAACACTCACTTTTGACTTATCCACTGTGCAAGATAACAGTGACTAATCAATCAACGTATTTTCTGTTAATCCTTTGATGACTAGGAACGATCCGTTGATTTACCAAAAAGGTTAATCAACTGATCATTCACCTCTTGCTGGGCTGCCACGTGCATATTACATAACACACATTTCACCTCACTTCAAACCTGTATATAGATTGAATAATTACCCCAGACACAATAAATGCCAAATGGGAACCTTTGTCAGGTAATCTAAGTCGTGCTACCACTAATTATACCCGTAATAAATTCATTAACTGAGCATCAAGTGAATGACGACAAATACACAAGTGTAGGGTTATACCAGAAAACGTGGATGACAACAAGGGACTAGTAATCGTATTATCGACGCAATCCGAAATACGAAAATGCTTTCACTGCATGGATACTTTATTTAATTATTAAACAACAACCATCAGGTGTTTTTTTCTAAATGACGACATCCGATGAGCTCCGCCGTTCTTTTTGTCTGTTTGTTTAGGCTGAAAAAATTATTAACATGCGCCCTTTGTCGAAATCTTTATAGATCACAGTTAACCAATCAGTGTTCAAAAATGCGTAAAACAAATATTGCCTCCAGCCTCCAAGTTTATTTAGCTGTCCTTGCAGACGGTAGCCCAGTCTCTGGTCACGCTCAGCTGCGTAGCGTATCATCCGGGTACTCACGGGGAAAAAAACAATAACAAAGGCAACAACCAGTCCGGATAATTGCGTTAGATCAGTGCCCCTTTAAGGGGAAAAGAAAGTTTAAGTTTCAGTGCTAACGGAAGGATAAACGCCAGACGAAGATCTCTTACCTGAGAACACAGTAAAGGTGTCAACGTGGTCTAAAAATACGGATGCATGAATAATGGAAACAGTAAGTAAGTGAATTATTTTGTTACCGGTCAAGTTGACGCCACCATTTGTGTAGTGGATGTCGCACCGGGATACGGTGATGTTGTTGCTGTCGCTGAAGCTAACGCCATAGGCACCTGAGGATAAACGTTAATATTAAAACAAACAATTGATTATAAAAAAAGAGATAAGATAAGGGTCTATTCGGTCCGCTGGTAATATGAAATATTAAGGTGATAGAAGACTTGGAAATATCTGTATTCAATTATCAGAATTAGGTTCAATGGCTGACAGTCATCTCTATTTTCTTACGCTTACGACCTGTGAAGATCCTGGTTAGAATTGGTCTTCAGCAACCCATGAATGTCGAAAGGGGCGATTATGCTTGTCGTAAGAAGCGACTTACGGGACCGAGTGGTCAGGCTCGCTTACTTGGTTGATGAATGTCATCGTATCCCAGTTGCGTACATCGATGCTCATGATGTCAATCACTGGATTGTCTGGTCGAGACACGGTTATTTACAGACCGCCGTCAAATAGCTGGAATATTGCTGAGTGCGGCGTTAAAAAACAAACAAACAAACAATCGCACCACCTAAATTATGAAGCTCTACCAGATATGTTCGTCCGAAATAGTTTCAAGCACTCACCTACATTCTTAATTTCCATGTTTTGAACGATGATGTTGTGTACACCTTCTCCAGTGATTCCCGCTTTGCGACACGCCTCCAAAGTAAACCCCTCAAAATTGAGGTTACTCACGCCTCGGTCCAAGCTGCCAAAAAACACACCGTTATTCCGTGAATCAAACTATCTTCATTGAAATTCGCACCCTGGCGGCATCTGGCCTATGTCTTCTCTGATGTCAATAAGTGAAAACGTTAAAAACATTTCCCTGATCAATTTAACGTTTTCTCTGAATCAACAAACGATTGGTTGGGGTATAAGAGCATATGTGTACAATTACTTTATAAAAAAAGAGACAAAGTCATGCTGCAAACGATAAACTCATGGAACGAAAATAAGGCGAGACATGACATCATTGTACACAAATATTTACTTTACTCTGATGTACAACAAACTACAGTACATACAGTAATGATGTTTACTGTGGTGTAGAGCATTACCCCATCAACATAAGTCATGTTTTGCTACCTTAGTAGATAGGATGCTCACATCAACGTCGCACATTACTTGCAGGATGTGTGTTTGTTGTTTAACCAAGTCAGCGAGCCTGACCACCTGATCCCGTTAGTCGCCTCTTCCGACAAGCGTAGTCGCCTTTAACGGCAAGCATGGGTTGCTGAAGACCTCTTCTACCCCGAATCTTCACGGGTCTGCTGGGTGTAGACGAACATATACCGAATACATGACTCCAGGATAGACGTTCCCTTATTTCATTCAACAGTCTTCTAAGGCAACTGCTGTGATATCCCCCTGTGACTATTTTGAGCTGAGCCTGTCACGGGTTGAGCGGTGCTGGTTGTTGTATTAAGATAACCCGGAAGTACTAGTAGAATATTTCCAAAGTTGACGCATCGCTGACAAAAATTATGTTCGATGCAATTGGCTATTTTGACTTGTACCATGTTCCCGTAATTGTTTAGGTGAACAGATGACTTGCCTTTGCATGTGTTTGTGACGGAGTCACTGGGTGGGTAGAATACGCTTACCTTTTCGCGAACACTTGGTAACATCACTATTTTATAGTGACTTATAAACACATGCTTCTTAATAAAGTCGGAATCATACAATGTTTTCATTAGGGATTTCCTACGGTAATGGAAGTGATTTTTATTGTTTTTTATTGATAACATCGTTTGTGTTTCCCGGGAATGACTTCAAAATGAGTTCTTAAGTCAAACTACGTGCCCGTCAACCTCACGCTAATAGCTTGAGACACACCTATGTCTTGTCATTGTCTCGTCATGGTCAGAAATAATAATTGACGAACTTTTGTTTTTGTTTCTGAAACGTTAATGGTATTTCATTTGAAACTTCTCGTGTGTTGACCATATTTTCACTCTTAAATAATTATTGACAATGTTTCTTGTTTTACTTGTACAGGGTCAGGCCTGTGGTTGTGTTCAAAAATGTACTAGACCAGGGCCAATTGCCAGTCGTTGCAAGTCGTTGAAACATACAAGTTGATAATGTAAATTATTTGACTAATTGCTAAGAAGACAAGAATTTCACACAAAGTCGAACCACTGAGTGGAAATGGACACCGGATCGGAATGTTCCCCCAAGATAACGTAACCAGACATAAGTCACTTCTGCCTTTGGATTGGACGAAGATGGGGGCAGAGGGACAAAGAAACGTGCCTGATGCAGTCGTTGATGAGGGACACAGTGATGATGTCAGAGGAGTCCACGGTGCCCGTCTTTGTGTTGGGCCAGATGTACAGGTTGCCATTGGACCGGTCCAGATAGTACTCTCCCTGTACAGAACGATAACGCAAGATACTAAGGACGTTACAGTAGTGTGATCACCTGGCTTAGTGTGTGTCGTTGATGTTTGCTCATCCTAAAAAACAGAATTTGCCTTGACCAAGATAGATTATTTACAGACCACCGTGGTAAAGCATCAGTCGTTGGAGACAACCGGAAGTGGTGGAAATTCCAAAAACTGACTTTTAACATTATGTGTCATGTAAGTGTGATATTTATAAGTTACAGAAAGAGGAGTAGGTGGAGGAGGAGGGGGTTCTTCTCACCGGCAGATCCAGCTCTGACAGCATGTTGATAACCCGGAAGTAGCCACCCTGATTGTCAGCATAGGCCAGATGGGCCGGGTTGTAATGACCTGGACATAATGGAACCAATCTAAATCGCCACACTTTGTACTGTTCACGTATAGCTGAACTTTCAAAGTACGTCATATTCTCTATCATTGTAATATAGTCTGCATTTCAAAAGCTCAATAAAACTCTTTGCGTAATGTGATAGTAATCTATCTGCTTATTGTGACTATATTCGAATTTGTTGGAATGATTTTTAAGCACAATCTGTTGCATACCATATGTACATGTTAAGTTCCCTGATATTGACGACCGCCTCCGTGGTCTAGTTGGTAGAGCTTCCGCTCTGAGAGTGGAAGGTCGGGGCCAATCCCCGGCCGCGTCAGACCAAAAGACGTTTTTAACTTGTTACCCTGCCTGAAGCTCGGCATTAAGGGGCTAAAACAAGGACTGGTCGGCTCGAGGTCAGTATACTGTGTCTGATTGGGGTACTCCTGTTAATCTGTGGCATGGTATCTCAGTGGGCTAGCACTATAAATCGGCATCAGTCCGGACTAGTACAAGCAGCCACACACACTAGCGCATGCACGTCGCTGTATAAGTGCAATAATCCTGGAAGTTTAACGTTTAACCCTATTTCACCTAACCTCACCCAGTTATTGACATCAAGCACTGTTCTACTCATAATAAGGATATTCAACAAATAGCATAGCTATTTCTGACCACTGAGTCACCGAGCTACCCAGCCACAAGGGGGGATTAGTAGTACAAACAACATGGGATGTCCTTAGCTCTACTGACCTACTCTGAGTCCATAGTTCGTGTCGTTTGCCAGAGTGATCTGATGTTTGCTGATGTCAATGTCGCTGATCCCAACACCATCGTCCGCCCAGCTAAAATACCTGTTCAGACAGCAGCCTTGAGAATTCTTTGACAAGACTTGAATTTGTTATTGAGTCATACATTCTTATAAATACGTTGTATGAGCAGTGACATCTTTATCATTTTACCCGACATTAATGCTACTACAATAACATAAAACATCCATCCCATTCCATTACACACATTCTCCATCCCATTCAACGTCATCCGTAACGTAACTGCCGCCGCCAAAGATCGTTATATGCAACATCTGGGTGAAGGAACCACAACAACAACAACCCTGTGCTACGCAGAAACGTTGACTATTCAGTGTGTAATCGGCTGTGGGACGCATGATTTCTTGCTTGAAGACTAGTTCGACACACATCGTCACCTGGCTGAAAGTCGGCAGTGGTGCAGACAGAGCGAGATGGCCACGTGCAAGATGAAAGGCCGTTCTGTTCAGAGATGAGCTTTCCACTCCGACCTGCTGATGGGCATGCACGTGTCTACAGACGTCAGAACGAACGATATGCCCTAAATTGTGTGCAGCAGGTCGACTGATTTGGAAGTGGGATCATGATCATGGTGGCCGGCCGGAACCTGCTATCCGCTATCGAGATGAGATCTTGCAACGTCAGGTCGTCCTGTTCATTAACACCAACGGTGTACTTTTCCAACAACGCCTCATAGTGCACGTGTCTGCCAGGCCTTCCCACAACAAAGCAACATCCAGAGGTTACGCTGGCCTGCTCGATCACCTTCCCTGGACAGTCATATGCGCCGAGGGAATCCACCAGTGCATACACTCCAAGCACTGCTCATGGCACTTCAGAAACTTTGTGGCAGAACTTTCCTCAACACGTCATACAGGATCTCATTGCCTCCATGGGTCACCGCAGTCAAGTTATCATCAATGCTCGTTGAGGCCACAACAGATCCTGACGTTTTGGTTTATCATATTGTCTTTACCCGACCTCCGTATGTTGTTCGGTCAGGTCACATGTGATCATGTGATTTGTAATCAATCATATAACTTTGTTCATAAACTGATAAAATCTATGTTAGGTTTCTTTTTGTAGGAAGAGTTATACATCTTCTAAACACACTGTTACTGTTTTCTGCAATAAATCCATTACGGTTGTGGAAGTCACGTTGAATGTTACCAGAATCCGTAGGCCCATGGTTCCTTCTCGTGCACCCATCTGGCGTCTTCTTTCGAGTTGTAGGTGAAGACCCTGCTACGTCTACCTCCAGGAACAGAGACCAGGTTCAGGAATTTCTGCAAGAATTTCACACATTTGTATATTTGTTTGTTCTAGGATCTTGGACAGTGTTTAGTGTGTGGTCGATACAATATGTTCTACCTATTTTGCCGATAAGACACACTTGTCTATTGAATTATCACAGCACACTCTGTGATCAAGTGAGAATTCTGTAAACAAAATACTTAACAAATAATATGAAATCATATAACACGGTAACACCCACGCAACCCACACTCTAACAACACACATTTGTATGTACACGAGCGTTAAGAGTCTGTGGTCAAACAAATATGTTTTCAGTCTGTCAAGAAATGGGGCTGTTCTGAGGGCAGATGCAAGAGCATTCCATTTCTGAGCTGCAGTAACTTCATAAGGTGGCGGGTTCCTGGATGGCTGGTACACATGAACAGCAGTACTTTGTTACTGGACATCCAGAGCTTAACATCGGACATACAAGTTTCCATGTTACTCACGATACCTTGGTGTGGTGACTGGTCGAGGGAAAGACCGTTCACCAGCTGTGAGTCGTAAGCATAAAAGTAATGGTTGATACTGTGCTGGTGATAGCATTTCCGAGTGGACACGTACACAGAGTAAACAGGACAGGCCCTAAACAGATCCTCGACAAATTCAGACTGGGTATTCCTTATGATCACACACTGTTTCCAAAGGCACATTGTAAGCTTCTCAGGAGCTTCTATTTATCTACTGTGTCGAATGCTGAAGAAAAGTCTCGCAATACCAACAGAAAAACATTGCCATTCTCAGTAACCAAGATAATATCATTCAGAACACGATTCAATACTGTCTCTGTCTGTGATCAGTTCTGTAAGTTGACTGGTGTATATACATGAGGTTGTTCGCTACTAAATGCTCCATTAGTCTCTGTTTGACCGTTTTTTCACCAATTATTCAGACAAATGTTAAATTTGATTCTGATCGGTAGTTCTTTATCACACTGGCAATGAGAACTTTTTTAACAAAGGCTGATAAACAAAACTGAGTTAGAACCTCGGTCCTCCCAAAGTGCTCTGTAATCCCGAACCTTGACCTAAGTATTTTTAACCTTGGAGCTCTCAAAGGTTCCTGCCATGACATGGAAAAGATAAGATAATAACGATTAACATAAACACACAAGGGCAGATACAATACATTTCAGGGCTTTTGGAAAATTATGGGATTTTATAGTTCGGTACTAGAACCAGTCTTGGTCTTCCTTCCTACCTCATTGGGCTACTGGGCCAATCTGGCTCTACCTTCCTATCTCATTAGGGTACTGGGCCAATCTGGCACTACCTTCCTACCTCATTAGGGTACTGGGCCAATCTGGCTGGCTCCCCATTGATAAAGATCTCCAGCCATGACGTCCTGGATACGTAGAAGCCGAACTTGGACATCTGGCCGTAATCTGTGACGCCGGCACTAGGTAGGTGCAACTGCAACACCTACAGCACAGTAACGTGAGCAGAGTACCATACTCCTGTAAGTAACATCTTCTAAACTGTGGGTTTCTATTACTCAGAGATACTTGAGATATGATTACAAATGTGTCAAATAGGCATGATCAATCATTTGAAATCACTTAACCAAACACTTACGTGTTATATGCAGCAGCAGCAATAATACTAATAAAAATACTACTACTACTACTACTACTAATACTACTACTACTACTACTAATAATAATAATAATATGCATCCCAAGTAGCAAGTTATCCAACTCCCCATTGTTCTTGGTGCCTTAGGTTTGGTACCTCCTAATCTGGTGACTGACATTGGGAGAGTACCCGGGTTTGTTACCAGGAATACAGCCCTTCTGACAATCTTGGTAATGCAGAAGGCTGCAGTGTTGGGGAGTCTTCACATTCTCCGAAAAGTTCTCGGTGGTTTCGACGAGGCAGCGCTTCCTGGGAGAAGTCCCATTCGCTGTCTGAGCTACGTGTAGAGGGGGCCAGGGGGCTGACCTGATGATGATCCTAACCAGCCTAGCTGTGCCAGGATCACCCAAACCCTCTTTGCTGCAGTTTTTATTTTAATCTTTACATAATAATAATAATGGTGATAAACATATATGGCGCTGATGTCACTGTGATTTCCAAGAACGATCTGATTTTGATTTTGGAACCTGCAGCAGGAACTGCTGATTTGACAGAAGTGCATGACATAGTGTATTGTACGATCTTTGAGATATGATCAGCTGCATGCACGTCTTGATACCCCAATAAAAGAAGCTTCAAATCAATTCTCTCACGTATGTATGGCCAATTGCCAATGTAGGGACTTTAAAACTGGTTTAATATTTGATCTTAATTTCGTCCGAGAGATGATTCATGGTGCAGTGTTTTGGACTTCTTGCAGCCTTTGCAGTTGTTGAATTGAAATCCCTGTCAACAGTCTGTTGCAGAAGTCCAATATCTTTAGCATCACCATTATTAGTGTTATTACTACACAACCGCCACGTTTCACCATAGTCATTTAAAAGAATGACAGTATATTCATACTACCTTTGACCTTGAATTTGATGGCAGCATATTCAGCACGTTGCTGTCTGTCACGTGGGTAAACAGGTTTGCTGGGATCTGCTTGCCTCCTGTCTGGTGACGTCACAACAGAAGAAGATTGTTATATACAGAACATAAAATTGTTATATTTATTGCAATTCTCTGTGATCTGAAGGGTTAAATTCATGTATCTGTTATATGACAATGATATCATACTGAAGGTAAATGTGTTGGCTTTGATTGTGATTCTTTTATGTGCAATTCAAATATTTCGAGGACTTGAGTTTGTTTCCAATAATAATAAATAAAGGCGAAAACACCCTTTCTGAATTCGACGATTCCGACGATAGCACGAGCGCGTGTTATTGAAGTAATCAAATAGTGGACCATGTGTTCGCGAAAAAGGGAGCGTAATCATAAGAAATCATAAGAAATCCATAATCATAACTGCCAAAAAGCAGGATCCATTGTACGAGTCAAGTGAATACATTCATCACGAGTAGAAGCAGGCATTGGTTGCAACTGGAGGTGCATTTCCTAGCTTTGAGTGGAGAAATTTTAATTGACAGGCCTTCGACTCCAGACTGCACGCCGAACATTTTGACAGGGCAAAGCATGAACTGTTGGGAGTGGAAGACTACTGAGGGTTGTTTCATTTGCCCTGTGGATATTCAATACGTGTCCTTCTATACTTACCACGTGTGTCCCAACTCACCACGTGGACCTCCCCAGTAACCACTCTGGCCTCCGCACTTACCACACGTGTCCCAACTGACCACGTGGACCTCCCCAGTAACCACTCTGGCCCCCTCACTTACCACGTGTGTCCCAACTCACCACGTGGACCTCCCCAGTAACCACACTGGCCCCCTCACTTACCACGTGTGTCCCAACTCACCACGTGGACCTCCCCAGTAACCACTCTGGCCTCCTCACTTACCACGTGTGTTCCAACTCACCACGAGGACCTACCCAGTAACCACTCTGGCCTCCTCACTCACCACGTGTGTCCCAACTCACCATGTGAACCTCCCACTTACCACGCGGACCTCCCACTAACCACGCGGACCTCCCCACTCAGCACGTGTGCCCCACTCACCACGTGGACCTCCTGGTCCTGGTAGGCTCTGAAGGTGACAGGCTGGGAGTAGGCGTGGGTGAAGTGTAGGGTTGACTGCAGGTTGTGGTAGCCTCCCATCAGCTCCACGTACACCGCTGCAGGAAGAGATGGGAGTTAGAAATAAGTTAAGTTAAAATCCACTTGAATGTATTTATGTCAATCTGGTATATATAAGACAATTTAACAACATATAAATTAAGAAAATTATTTCATACATACAAGAGTTTGAAGTTAACATTCTGAAAGGTGAGCTGCAGAACCTACTCACTGTTGTCCTTGATCCCACTGCTGTCCAGTAACTGCCTGGCCTTGTCCAGGGTGGCAACCGGGTGGGACGCATCCAACCTGAGTACAAGGCACATGTTTCTATTTACTGGTAGGGCACCTTTGCAGGGCATTTTAACTATAGCAATCATTTAAGCACGATACAGATATACTATTTCGATACAGTGATCAGTACCTTCACCGAAATATAATTTGCCAATGCAAGAGAAACAGGGTCCATTTGGCGTAAATAGCTGTGGAAAAAATTTGAATGGACCACTGACAATCAGTGATGACACCTGGTGTTCGTGAAAAGAGTAAGCATGTCCTGCCCTACCGGCAGAACCCACCATTCATACAATTTGCAAAAAAAGTAAGTATTTATTGACTGACGCAGCACAGCAGTACTCCTGCCATGCGACGTCAGCCTGAAAACAAACCAGACAATCAAGTGATCAATGAACCAGACAATCCAGTGACACGACAAATACAAACCAAATGTCCGGACGGTATGCCATGATGTTATGGGCGTCTTCAGAGAGTTCATGGGTAGTGATTCATAAACACATGATCATGATATAGTCGGAATCGTATCATCGACTCATATAATATCATCGCAGATATATCTTGCAGGTTGTATTTACATGTCTCTTCAGACAAGGTGAGGGGGCACAGATGTTCAAGTTGTCTAAGATGTGGCAATTCTCAGTGTGTCCTTGGATTCCAATTCTGGTTTGGTCTGGCTAGGTATCTGAGTTTATTATCACCACACCCGTGTGGTTGTAGCTGCAGTCACTTCCTCGCCAAGTAAACATATGGCTGTGTTAAAATTGCAATCAGAATCCAAGTATATTCTTTCAAAATTAGACGGGGAACGGGTGGCCCAGTCGTCTAAGGCGCCGCGATTCGCTGTGCAGAGTTGCGTCCCTTGGGCACGCCAGGAACCTATGATTGTGGGTCCGAATACCGATTCATCCCGATTATGTTTCTAGGTTTGTCAGCACCATACCCATGCTCGTTGGTTTCGCCGATGTGATAAACGTCTCAGACCTGCATCACTTCGGGCTTTCCTCCCACATTAAGCTGACACGCCGCGATATAACTGGAATAATGTTAAAAACGGCGTTAAACCCAACTCACTCACACACTCTAAATTAGACAGCAACTGTTCTGTAAAGGTGACAGGTTCCACTGTGTAATTTCAATTACTATTCCTTATCTTTACTATGCCCATATTAGGACAGTATGAACACCGTGAGCATTGGCACTTACACTTTGAATATCCCATTGAAATAGAATTCATAACGTTCCACAGGGTTGATCTATATACCTGGTATTTTGGTTCTGTTCTGGTACCGTGCGGGTCTTATCTGACAACGAACCAAAATGCCTTTGGCAATAACGAACCTTAATAAACGTAACGCGCAGATCAATGTCAGACGGATATTTTGCTAGGAACCCGGGAATCTACCATTCATATGTCAGTGAGTGAGTGAGTATGTTTTTTACGCCGCTATTGGCAATATTCCATCAATATCACCCGTTGTACCCATGTGCGGAACCGGACGGTTCTATGGCGTGACCAGCGAACGGATTTTACCACTAAGCTACCCGACCGCCCCCATTCATATATCAAGCATGCAGTTTCAAGGATCAATAAAACTAATCTTTTATAAACAATAATACAATGTTGGTAATGTCAGCACGTTTGTGTTTGTTTACTCCACAAACAGCAGTGATGTGCGTTTCAAATGGCTGTACATTCAGCCTATGTGACCATTGCAGCGGCAGCATCATACGTCGTTCAATATGCAATGTATTCCGGCATATCGGCATTTGGATAAATGTCGTGCGACACCAAATAAAAACACCTTCAGCAATTTATCAACCTATATAAAAAGAATTGCTTACCCCGAGTTCCCGTCTGAGCCCTTGGGGCTGACGTAGATGTGGACTGTCTTGGAGTGACCCAGGGGCAACAACAGCCCCAGACACAGAGCGACTACCCACGTCATTGTTTGGTTTCAAGTGTCACAGTGTTGAAGATTACAAGCGTCTAATGGATTATATAGACAGCTGAATTGCATGGCCTTGAACGAGATAAGGATAACAGAAACTGCATGTATTGACAAAACAAATGTGGAAATGTCCTCCACGTGTCCACCATAATATCATTCTGTTCAGTCCTGTACATTTCATCATTGGTAATCATAATCTCGTATATAAATACAATTGTTACGCTGCAAATCCAGACTGAATTTGATGAACGGTTTGTATTGTTTGAAGGCGGAGCAATACGAAGTTTATTATACTGCAATTATACAGTTATAATATACCGTAAGCATTTTCCAAATGGGCCAAAGCAATGAAAATACGAATGTGGTTCAATTGATCTACATGATTCATAAAAGTTTTCAAATTTGTTTATCAATACAAATCTATAGAATGTATAGTTTTCCTTGGAGAAATATATATTTTGGTCCAAGCTAAATGTTTTGATCCCAGGTTACTTGTCCCAATTTATACACGCGCTGTGAATCCATTCGAGTTAAATCGGTGAAGACATTCCATTCCTTGTTTGCACTGTATTCCATAACCAAATTCCAAAACCGTCGGTATAAAGAGAGAAATATGGATGGGTCCAGCAAATGTACCACGAAATCCCTATCTCAAAGAATAACCATAGTCCTTAATTCAATCAAGGAAGGAGTTTCTTTATGATTCGCATAAGGCATTTGAGACATATGGAATCAATACAATGTGTATTCTCAAAATCTTTTGGAGGTCAGTCTCAGAAAAACAAGCGCAATTCCGTCAAAACGGTTGATTTTTCAGCTTTGTACCAAACTATCCAACACGACAAAACTAAGGTTAAATGTCATTCCTTGATCCATTGAGCATTTGTTACTGAACGTGGTGACCATAGGTATAGTTACTTGGTTGATACATGTCATCGTATCCCAATAGCGTGGATCTGTGTCCTTGATGTCAATCACTGGATTGTCTGAACATGAAACAGAAACAGTTAACGCCCTTGCTTCGGAAAGATGTCCCTTTCAGACTAGCAATGAGATGCTGGGGACACATTCTATCTCTGGTCCCCACCGGTACATACTAGAATACCAAAAATATGACCGTGTATGGGACATCGGTTACCCGCTCAGTAGCAACGGGTTTACACTGTACAGAACTTTGGGGAAATCTGCTTGTACACAACACTTTTGTATTGAGTGTCAAAATGCAGACAATTTGCAGTGACGTTCATAAAAGACTAAAAACATTAGCATAGCTTTTGAAAAAAATACTCAAAAGACAAACATTGTGTCAGTTGGTGGAGCTGCCGGTAGAGAAAGACATGCTTTAGATCCTCTTTGCGAACACCTGGTGTCATCACTGATTTTCAGTGATGCATGTGTATAATTTTCACCACTATGTTGCCCTATACGCCCAGTTGAATCTGTGTAATCTAATTAGTTTCATTTATTGATTCAATCATGAATAAAAGCATTGTAAGGAATATAACTACCAAGGGATTGATATTATTTATATATGTATTCTGATACGCGTCGGGGAAATATAACTTTCGATTGCTGATATAAATATTTTCGAATCAATAATGCAACTTGTAAATAATGACGATAGTGCATTTTTTTATGTTCTTAGAGTTATTTTGAACTTTCTTGTTGTTCTACATGCATTAAACAGAACAAGCACAATGGCTGCTGTGTCAATCAATGAGTGAGTGAGTAAGTGAGTGAGTTGGGTTTAACGCCGTTTTTAACAGTATTCCAGTTATACCACGGAGTGTCAGCTAACTGTGGGAGGAAAGCCCGAAGTGATGCAGGTCTCAGACGTTTACCACTTCGGTGAAACCTACGAGCACGGGTATGGTGCTGACAAACTTAGACACATAATCGAGGCGAACCGGGATTCGAACCCACAATCATAGGTTCCTGGCGTGCCCAAGGGACGCAACTCTGCACATCGAATCGAGCCGCCTTAGACGACTGGGTCTCCCTGCCCCCTCAAGCAATGAAGATTGTTAGCCTGTCACAGGTGGGTTTTATCAATGCACAAGGCTGTTGTGCTCCACGTTCTTCTGGCAGCTTTTTTGTAATATATCTAAGGCTGCAATTTATGCGTTTTATTTCGAGTAAGTCCTACAGTACCCTTGAATAACACTGGACAACTCAGGTTGAATGTAGTCAATTCTGGTTGCCAGATAGTGATGACCTCGGTTGACTCGCGAATTAATGAAGACACGTAGCGTGATAAGAAGACTATGTGATAGACAGGTGACGGGGACAGTAAAGAAGAGGCCTGGACGTCCCAGGAAACTGCCCCACAACAGGATAGTCAAAACACTTTACATGCCAGACGAAGAATACATTCGTGAGGCCCTAAAAATGACTTCGGAAATGTTATGGGCGTTCAGACCTCTACACAACATTCTACACATACAGTAAACTGCGGTTATAACGAACTCAAAGGGACCACTAATTTTAGTTCGCAATAACCGTAGTTCGTTATAAGAATATCTACAACAAATGGCTGAGACTAAAAAATAAGTTCGTTACATCGGTCAGTTCGTTATAAACGAAGTTTTCCGTATTCTATTAAAATGGGGCAGTAGGGTAGCCTAGTGGTTAAAGCGTTCGCTCGTCACGCCGAAGACCCGGGTTCGATTCCCGAGATGGGTACAATGTGTGAAGCCCATTTATTGTGTCCCCAGCCGTGAAATTGTTGGAATATTACTAAAAGCGGCGTAAAACCATACTCACTCACTCGCACGTAGGCCGGCAGTATGTCTCCATGTGACTGCAGATGTTTGATGGCACCAGAGAGCTGAGTGTCGTTCCTACTGGAAGTCAGATAATTGGTACCGTATTCGACGCTCTAATAAGCGCCCACGGCGATATTTGCTAATATATTGGCTAGTGAACAATCCCAATTGGCACCCTTCCGATTGATCAATGAACACAAGACCTATTTTTTCGCGTATAATACGCATTCGTGTGTTATATGCACCCTTAATTATGGGCAATTAAATTCTGGAAATATATATGTCGTACATAAACATTTCAGGCAGTCGGTATAAACCACGAAATTTATCTTTCAACTCTGTTTTTATTTTCACCAAAATAATATTCTAATAAGAGCCCCCTAGTTCTAATTTTGAGAGTGCCCAGAGCGCTTATTACGTCGAATACGGTAATAGGAATTATTTCCTGTCCCTGGTTGCCTGGCCATATACTGGCGCGATAAGAGATTATTTCAAGTAGTTTATAAATGTTAAAACTGCATTGAGAATCAAAGTGTCAAATTCTACAAGGGGTATGAATTCAACTTTCCAATAGTCAACTTTCCCTTTATGTCGAGCATTATTACCGAAGTTTCAGCCTTTGGTTTCATGTATTTCACAAATGTTAGGTACAATCGAGCATGCATTTTCAATGAAGATTTCAAAGAGTGTCAAATTACTCAAAAGTTGTTTCATCAGGGCTACAACATTCAACCAAAGTAAAGCTTTCGATAATGACGTCCGATGCAATTCCTTAACTTGACTTGTACCATTCCTGCAACTTCTTAATGCCAAACAAAGGTGAAGCAACCATAGATGAATTTGAAGGTTGAAGATCAAATAAAAATTTAAGTTATATTCAGATCTAAAAACTAAACTCCAAACCTTTAAGCCTTCTCTGAACGAATATCCAGGCTCAATCAAAATTAAAAAAATTAATGACCGTCGGCTAAAAACAGAGTCATCACAATAGAAGGCAACATGAAATTATAAGATTGATGATCCTGCAAAGATCCGGCCTGCATCAGAAGGCTTTCGTTGCAATGTGTGACAGTTTTGGTTTGGTTTATTGTTTAACGCTGCACGCAGCAATATTCCAGCTATATGACAGCGGTCTGTAAATAATCGAGTCTGGACCAGACAATCCAGTGATTAATATCATGAGCATCAATCCACGCAATTGGGATCGATGACATGCATCAACCAAGTCAGCAAGCCTGACCACCCGATCCCGTTAGTCGCCTTTTACGACAAGCATAGTCGCCTTTTACGGCAAGCATGGGTTACTGAAGACCTATTCTATCCCGGAATCTTCACGGGTCGCAATGTGTGACAGAAGGGAACGAGATAGCGCACATGACATAATGGTTTTTTTTAGCTTTTTATCCAGTACTAAATTACGGGTGATGATTAGTGACGTTCGTAAGAGACTAAAAAAAAAACCAGCCTGTGAACATTCATGAAATTATGCAAAATGCAAATATCCTGAAGAAAATAACAGTAAAACCATGCAGCCGGATTAGCAAACAGACATCACACGTGAACCATGCATAGTGCCACTCAGTAGGTATTATTATTATTGACACAGATCTCAACGATACTGCTTATCTCTCCGCTGATTAACTCAATGTTTTGATCCTAAAACGGGACAGACGAGATCGTTGGTCTACTTTCATCCAGTGTCAAATCACGCACACCCAAGATTCAAGTAGTCTCACACACAACTGAACATTTACAACTTTAGTTACACTGTAATAATCCCGGTTCGCCCCGATTATGTTTCTAGGTTTGTCAGCACCTTACCCGTGCTCGCGGGTTTTACCGAAGTGGTAAACGTCTGAGACCTGCATCACTTCGGGCTTTCCTCCCACATTAAGCTGACACGCCGCGATATAACTGGAATACTGTTAAAAGCGGCGTTAAACCCAACACACTCACTCACTACACTGTAATAAAAGACAAATACTCAAGTCGCCATGTCCAAAATAGTTGTATGGTAGGATACAAGGCAGAGTGAGTTAGTGAATATGGTTTTACGCCGCTTTTAGCAATATTCCAGCAATATCACGGCGGGGGACACCAGAAATGGGCTTCACATATTGTACGCATGTCGGGAATCGAACCCGGGTCTTCGGCGTGACGAGCGAACGCTTTAACCACTAGGCTACCCGACCGCCCCTTTTCGTCTAAGTATCTCCTACGTAGGACTTAGTATCTCCTACTTAGGACTTAGTATCACCTATGTAGGACTTACTAAGTCCTACGTAGGAGATAGTTATTCTAGTCCATACTAAGTCCTACGTAGGAGATACTAAGTCCTACCTAGGAGATAGTAATTCTAGGCCATACTAAGTCCTACGTAGAAGATAGTAAGTCCCACGAGGGGATAGTAAGTCCTACGTAGAAGATACTAAGTCCTACGTAGGAGATAGTAATTCTAAGCCATACTAAGTCCTACGTAGAAGATAGTAAGTCCCACGAGGGGATAGTAAGTCCTACGTAGAAGATACTAAGTCCTACGTAGGAGATAGTAATTCTAAGCCATACTAAGTCCTACGTAGGAGATAGTAAGTTCCACGAGGGGATAGTAAGTCCTACGTAGAAGATACTAAGTCCTACGTAGGAGATAGTAATTCTAAGCCATACTAAGTCCTACGTAGGAGATACTAAGTCCTACGTAGAAGATACTAAGTCCTACTTAGGAGATACTTAGACAAAAAAGATCACCGTGGCCCCACTACGCTTCCGTAAAAATTAGCTAAGGTGTGGAAAAAAAAATGTAAATGGGGTAAGGCACACATGAGAAGAGGGTTACCTTTCAGAAATCATGTGTTTAATTTAATCTATACACAAATGTTTGACTCCTTGGAACCCAAAGAAAACACCGTCCGTCCAACACTTTTTATTGCTGTATACTGAATAGAATACAGAACTGTTGACAATTTGTTGGTGTTGGCAAATCAATAGATATATTAATTAGATCATCCTCTGAGGTTGGCATAAACGTTCACATTACAACATATACATACAGAGCAAATTTACATTTACTATTGCACCTGTTCCATTGAGTGAGTGAGTGAGTGAGTGAGTGTGGTTTTACGCCGCTTTTAGCAATATTCCAGCAATATCACGGCAGGGGACACCAGAAATGGGCTTCACGCATTGTGCCCATGTCGGGAATCGAACCCGGGTCTTCGGCGTGACGAGCGAACGCTTTAACCACTAGGCTACCCGACCGCCCGCACCTGCTCCAGACATAATGGAAATGCGTTCCTGGTGTAAATATACACACATTAGTAAACATAAAAAACCTGGCTCCTTTTTAAAAATATGTAAAACAGACTACCGCACATTGTACAGGTCCTTTGATAAAGGTATGTGTGTCAGTGTTGCGGGAAAAGGCGGGAAACCCGTCTTCCCCACCCACGCTACAAACTCCAGACTTGTGACGTTTGTTTGTAGTGTCACAGTTTCGACTAACGCTACAGTAAGCAACAGACAAACAGTCAGTAATCGAGGCTGGATCAATTTGGATCATCCTGCATCAATGTGGACCGGTGGTTAACAGCATGAACAACCCACACTGTCCTGGACCGAGGACACAAAACCAGCAAGGTCACTCAAACAGCAGTTACGACAAGAATGAAGCACTGTGGGCGAAATCTGCCTTGGAAACAGATAGAATCTAGTTAACATTTGAAAAAGAATAAATTTGAGGTAAGAAAATTACATGCAGTTGTAGTTCGGATTAGCGATCAGTCGACAACCGATTATTCATATTTGTTTGTAAGGGGTTATCTACCATGTATATATAAGGAGTTTTCATGCCACGAATGCATCAGTAGATTTCTTGGCAGCATTGAGTTTAAAATATTTTACGAGTGTTTCAAAATCTCTCGCGAGACAGAGTGGCTTCCCCCGTGGAGACTCTCCAGGGAAGAGATTTTGCGGGAAAGAGAAATCAACATTTATGGAAACGGTAACAGAATTGTTTTTGTTTACGGTTTGTGTAAAAATGGCAGAGTGCACAATTTGCTTATGTAGGTCCAACATTGCTAAGGTATATTTATTGTGTCTTTTTACTACTGCATCTGAATGAATCTGTGAATGTTCTGCATGAACAGACTTGTACTCCCAGTCCCAGATCATTGAGTTTCATATGTATTGTTCGTTTAGACTCATCTCCAAACTCTGCTAAATTAAAAGCATTCCATTTTAACTTAAAAAGAAGTATGTTGTGATAGAAGAACACGCATCAGAAAATGAATAGAAATGTGTTACCATCATATTTGAAAGTATTCGTGTGAATTGACCAGTGCATATCAACACATCCCAGTGTTATGGGTTTTCGGCCGCTTCAGAAACATTCGTACTTTTCTCTCTAATTACATGAACGACTTAAAACATCTCATTCACTTATAAAAGACAACTTTCTCTGGAAAACAAGCAATCATCTGACTATGCACAATGTCTGTGTCATGCTACACTCCTGTTAAGGCGGGAGTAATCGCGATAAACATTGTCGTTCTACAACATATGACGTTCGAATACCAATGATACTACAATACATCATTCTTGAAGATCCCGGTTGGAATAGGTCTTCAGCAACCCATGCTTGGAGTAATAAGGTGACTATGCTTGTCATAAGAGGCGACTATGCTTGTCATAAGAGGCGACTAATGGGTGGTCATGCTCAAGACTTGATTGATGCATGTTATCGTATCCCAATCGCGTAGATCGATGCCCATGATGAAAACCACTGGTCCAGACTCGATTTTTTAAAAACTGCCGTCATAAAGCTGGAACTTTGCTGAGTGTGACATTAAACAACAAACAAACAAACAAAACATGTTATCCTGATTCAGGAGTGTGCTGACAGAATGAAGCGATTTCCCTGGGCTTGGTACACCATGATCATGATGATAACTATGCATACAAAATGTTTCTCTTTTCAGATTTGTAACGGTGGGAAGCTGATTTCACCTTGACTTTAATTGAAAGTGGGACCCACTGTGCGATGTGTTTCGTGCCTTCACAGACTCCAGTCGTCATGGTGTGAATAATGACCTACCTATTGTACGACCTTTAGAAGCGTGTATCCCAGACAATTCTCATCCAAAAACACTATTCAAGCCATGGTTTTCGGTGGAGGCATCACAGCAGCAGCATCCGATGATGACTGGTTTGTGGAGGGCAGCGATGAGGAGGGTGGCGCCGATGAACAGAAGGATCCTCCAGTCAACTGGACCCCAGATGCCAAGGACATCCTGGCGATGTTTGAAAAGCTGGACAAGGACAAGATGCTGGAGCTACGCTGGAAGTGTCCCGGGAGGAGGGCGCCGTCCCCGGAGAAAGGCAGCGCGGACTATGATGTAGGAGATGAGGAAGACATGTACAGTGATGATGACTCCAAGGAAGAGGAGATAAAGTAGGCATTATATTGATGTAGCGTATTCGACGTAATAAGCGCCCCGCTCCAATAAGCGCCCAGGGCGATATTTGTTAATATATTAGCAAGTGAACAATCCCAATCAGCACCCCTTCCAACTGATAAATGTACACAAGACTTGTTTATTCGCGTATGATACACACTCGTGTGTTATATGCACCCTTAATTATGGGCAATTTAATTCTGGGAAATATATCTGTCGTACATAAACATTTCAGGTTGTCAGCTTAAACCACAAAATTTATCTTTCAACTCTGTTTTTTTTCACCAAAATAATATTCTAATAAGAGCCCCCCTATTCCTAATTTTGAGAGCGCCCTGGGCTCACAAATACGGTAGTGTCAGAAATGGGAGGAAAATGGTTTTGGGATGCAATTTTATTGAGAGAAACATAAGCAGGGCAAATATAATGAAAAAACTTCAGTTTTCATAGGGATATTTTTCTCGAAGTAGAGACAATTTATGGATAACAGCTTCTACATTTACTGTAAAGGCGACGTTTCGGTATAGATCCTTATATAGATCCTTATATACCTTTACAGTAAATAAAGAAGTTGTTATCCATACAGAGGCAATGGGGTAGCCTAGTGGTTAAAGTGTTTGCTCGTCACGCCGAACACCCGGGTTTGATTCCCCACATGGGTACAATGTGTGAAACCCATTTCTGGTGTCCCCCTGCCGTCATATTGCTGGAATATTGCTAAAAGAGGCATAAAACCATACTTACTCACTGTTATCCATAAATTGTCTCTACTTTGTCATCCATCAACTTCTAAGTAATGCCTATCTAACAATTGATATTTTTCTCTCTCCATGAACATATCTGATTATCCCTTTCAAAACTGGAGTAGTATATTATAGCATCATCCACAGTACTGCTACTTCTCTTTACTGTGACATGAGGGGCAGTGGGGTAGTCTTGTGGTTAAAGTGTTCTCTCGTCACACGTAAGTCCCGGGTTCAATTCCCCACATGGGTTTTATGTGTGAAGCCCATTTTCTGGTGTCTCCGCTGTGATTTTCCTGGAATAATGCTGAAATCAGCGTAAAGCCATATTCACTCACTCCTAATATAGGGATATTTACGATATGGAAACAAATTCGGCACAAGAGGTGTGTCAGTGCTGTCCTCAAACTAAAATTGAAACCCCACTCACTCACTTGCATTGCTCATGAGAGTAATTTGATGGCTATTTTTAGAATCATGCAAATTCACAACGATGCTATGTTAGCAAATGAGTCCAGGGTTTTTATAACATCTCTCCCGCTATGATGTAAAGTTATAATGACGGCAGATGAGGAGGACTTTTCATTTTAATTATACTGAGATGATCAGGCAATGCTCTGAAGATGTAGTTTTGTTTTCAGTTTCAGCTCAGGTATATTAATCAGATATCACTAATCATCAATTCATCAATTTTACAGAGCTCCTGAAATCAGCGAGTTTGACTTTGATGATTTTGGATCGGAAGCATCTGCGAAGCCCACTCCGAGGAGGACACCAGGTCTGTTGTTAGGGAATTGGTATCTGTTAGACGGGGGCAGTTGTTAGGGGATGTGTATCTGCCAGTTGGCTATGTTGTTAGGGAATTGGTATCTGCTAGTTGAGGTCTGTTGTTAGGGGATGTGTGTCTGCTAGGCCAGATCTGTTGTTAGGGAATGTGCATCTGCTAGTCGAGGTCAGTTGTTAGGGGATGTGTATCTGCTAGTCCAGATTTGTTGTTCTGGAATTGGTATCTGCTACAATACCTGTTATATCATGACATCCGCTATGCAGGTCTTTGACATGTATGGTGCTGACAAACCTACAGCGTTAGAAATTGACATGGGTTGGGTGTCTAGTTGTGGTGTAACGATACGGCAATACAGTATTGTATCACTATATGAGGTCCATGATACAAGACATCTATTTACAACCCCTGTGACCCGTGAAGACCCGGGGTAGAATAGGTGTTCAGCAACCCATGCTTGCCGTAAAAGGTGACTATGCTTGTCGTAACAGGCGACTAACATGATCGGGTGGTCAGGCTCGCTGACTTGGTTGATGCATGTCATCGATTCCAATTGTGTCGATCGATGCTCATGATATCAATCACTGGATTGTCTGGTCCAGACTCGATTATTTGCAGACCGCCATCATAGCTGGAATATTGCTCAGTGCGGCGTTAAACAACAAACCTACCAACCAACCAACCGTCATATAGCTGGAATATTGCTCAGTGCGGCGTTAAACAACAAACCAACCAACAACAACCCCTGAATCGGATATATACAATACATTTCATTGCAAGTTATATTGGTGTAAAAACATGTGAATAATAACAGAAACACCATCTTACGCAGATTCTGTAGTATTGCATGGTTTGACATAAATAGCATAACATTCACAGTGCCCCGTACCAATATGTTTCTGCGATACAATATCCCACCTTTGATCTTTTGAAATTTAATAGTCAATGATTCAGGGTTGTGATACACTTGCAAAAGAAAGAATATCAACTTTTAATGCCACGAATGCGTCAGTTGATTTCTTTGCAATTGAGTTTAAGATAGTTTAAGAAGTTTTTAAGAGAAGTGTTTCAAAATCTCTCGCGAGACAGAGTAGCTTCCCCTGTGCAGACTCTCCAGGGAAGAGATTTTGCGGGAAAGAGAAATCAACATTGATGGAAACAGTAACAGAATTGTTTTTGTTTACGGTTTGTGTAAAATTACACAAAAGTGAACAATTTGAGTGTGTCGGTCCACACTTGCAAAAGTATATTTGATTAACTCTTAGTGTGTCTTTTACACCTGGATCTCTGTGGTTGGTCTGCATGAACAGACTTGTACTCCCAGATCATGGAGTTTCATGGGAAAGATTAACTCCAAGATACTCCGTATCCCAACTCCAATAGTTATATATGAATGCATTGCCGCTCAGTCCTTTTAATTATTCTGTAGTATTGCAAGGTTGGACATAAAAAGCATAACATTCACAGTACCAATAAGATTGATGGTGGTCAGGGCTCTGACAGAGGAACACTCAGATATGACAAAGGTGTGTTTGTTGCCTAATGTGTCCTGCAAGGGCTATAGCCTCCAACTCACTGCTTGAATGTCAGGCAATGGGTTTCAACAAGTGTACACACAGAGAAGGGCGTATTTGACTTCTGTGAGTTATCTGTATATGGTTCAGTTTCATTAACTGATTGAGAATAGACACTCATCACCACTCCACCACACTCCAGGCACAACATTATATCAGCTGCTGAGAAGAAGCCATTGTATTCCATGTACGACATAGTTAAGAGTACCTGTGAAGACCCGGGGTAGAATAGGTCTTCAGCAACCCACGCTTGCCGTAAAAGGTGACTATGCTTGTCGTAAGAGGCGACTAAAGGGATCGGGTGGTCAGGCTTGCTGATTTGGTTGATGCTTCTCATCGTATCCCAACTTATGCACATGATGTCAATCATTGGATTGTCTGGTCCAGACTCGATTATTTACAGACTGCTGCATATAGCTGGAACATGCTGAGTGTGGCTTTAAACAACAAATGGACGAGTAAACTTAGTTATGAGTAGATATAGGAGGTACCTCTCATATATTGTATGGAAAAGACAACCAAATTCAAGAAATTTGTATTTTTATACACACTGCCAAGAGAAACATGAATACCATACATGTTGGTTAATATAAGAAGAATTACTCATATTCAAGAGGCATTACATTGGTTTGATGCATAAACGAACATACAGTTATGTTGCGTGAACCGACGCTCATGAACACATCACATGTGACGTCAGAGATGCACCATTTGTCTTGTGCAGGGTTAGCATGTAAAATTTAGAAATCATGTGCAGCATATTATAAGAATTAAGAGATGCAACGGTAGCACTTGACTGATTGTTAGTTTTGTCATTAAGTGGTACACATTGGAAACATCTCTTCTTAACATACCGGTACATGCTTCTCTCTATGTGTCTATGGTTGGTGTTTCTTTTGGCGTTGAGTATATTAATGTTTTACCTGACACAGTGATATGAGAATGCTATGTAATGTTGCATTCATACTTATTTCAATAACATTTTTGCTAGTCCATTCTAGTTCCAAATTATATCTTGCCAGACAAAAAACTATAATTAAGCCATAATTTTCATCATGTAGGAAGCAAGACGACACCAAGGAGCCAGAAGAAAGTTGCAAGTATGGATAATGTTCTGAACAAGATTCGACACCAACAGATTGAAAAGGCAGCCATCAAAGAAGCTAGAAGAGGAATGTCAAGGTCACCTGCAAGTCCAGCCCGGTTCCGACTGGGCATGTCCGGAAGTCCTGGTCCCGCAAGTTCACGTCGACCTGTAAGTTCCACAGGGACTCCACTGAGACCTACATATGATCCAAGTGATGACCCGTTCGCCTCATCCACCAGTTTGTTTAGAGACAGTAAAGTGCCCCCGGCGCCCACCACCTCCGAGGTGCAGGGTGTTCCGGAAGTGAAGCTAGAGCTCCCTGACACGGCGGAAACACCCACCAGTGAAACAAAACCAAACGATTAAAGATTCAATGTTCACTGTGGTGTTTTTGTTTTCTGACGTGACGGGACCATAGTTGTCATGATGGTTGTAAATAATGAACCAGTGCTTGATAATGTGAGGTGCATGTCTGTCTGTGTGTTTCCGTCTCTGTATGTGTGTGTGTCGCGGTTATTAATCAACAAAGATAGCTGCATGTGTGCTATCCTTATAAAGTGAAAACATTCGTCAACAAGGAAAACCTCTTACAGTAATGACAATAATTGCAAAGTCTTTTGGTCAAGAAGGGGTCCAGACGGCCCAGTCGTCAAAGGCGCCGCGATTACCGAAGTGGTAATTGTCCGAGACCTGCATCACCTCGGGCTTTCCTCAAACATTAAGCTGGCATAATGTTAAAAGCAGCGTTAAACCCAACTCACTCTTGCCAAGAGTTTATTGAGTTTGGATCACATGGTTACAATATGGGTGAAACTTGGCACGTAGATAGGTCTAGTGGTAAAATGCCTTTTGACAGTTTGGGATTTTTGAAAAATGTAATTTTCGAGTTTCCATGGCAACGACTTTTACTTGTGTTTTACTCAGATTGAAAATGGCGGTAGTCTTCCTTTCCGGAACAGATCTAAAATCTATAGAATATTTTTATTTGATTTTTGAAAAAATTATTTTTCGAGTTTCCATAACAACTTCGACTGAAAATGGCAGTAGTGCAGATTTGAAAACCGTACAATATTTCTTGCCTTGCACACAAACGGACATATCATATTGGCAGGCGATATGAGTATTTCATGCTTGTTAGTTTTATGAATTCAGTCATGGGTGGTATTTAATCGTATTTTGTAGCACCTTATGCATGTTATCTTAACCAGTAAATGGCCTGGACTCAGTTGTACATCCGTCCTTACAACTATCTTAATCATGTTAATAGACTCTGCTGTGGCTGCCATATTGAAAATTGGATCAAACTCCGAACTGAACAAGTTAACTTTTCTTTGAGGGAATATGCATGCCAGTGTACAAAATTAAGCATGAAAGCCCTTGTGGAAGGTTCTCTCCTAAAAGTTTAGGGGGTACCGAGATTCATGTACTATAGGAGCAAGCTTCAAGGAGCCCCTGCTTATGCCAATCCCTGTATGGGCGATGGCGATGCAAATGCGGACACTTGAAGGTTATGTCGGACTTTTACTGCTGCACTGATCTTTTTTTCAAACCAAGTGGTGTTTGCACATCACTGGAATATCATGTGTATTTCTCCTTTATAGCCCTGGGAGAATAATATTCAAACCGAATTACTTTCAGTTAACTTGCATACAGAAACGCATGCATTTAAAGAAAAACTCAAATTATAAAAACAGCATACATAAGTACCCAATGAAGCTTTTTCAGCATGCGTACAAAGGAGCTAATTTCAGAAACATAATTACGAGCTAATTTACTTTCCGAGTCAAGCCTATATATTTACAACAGTTATTTACATCTAAAACATTATTTCATTTTTTTTTAATCTTAAAACCCAATAGAGTGATGAATGAATGAGTGAAAAAATATGGGTTATCCAATGAAAAATGCAATACCGTAACCCAATGAAAAATGCAATACCGTAACCCAATTAAGAAAGAAACCCCAGAGTAAAAACTCAATTGCTTAAAAACTTATCTTGAGCTCTGGATTTGTTTAAATGCTTTGTATGTGGATGAACAGATGTAGGTGCAGGGATTTGTCTGGGATTCTAAACTAGGTGTCTTTGACAGGAAAATAAGAATCATTCTGTTCCATTTTTAAAAAAAAAAGATCTTGTTCATTGTTTAACATCGCAAGCAGCCAGCTGTATGATGATGATCTGTGAATAATCTGGACTTGACAATCCCCTGACTGATATTGTGAACAACGATCCATGCCATCAGGGTACAATGACACACAAACCAAGTCACAGAACCTGACCACCTAATCCATAAGTTGCCTCATACGGCCAGCATGGGCTTTTTGAGAGCAATTCCAGGCTGAAATCCCTGTGTGGACTCGGCCTCTGCGCAGACAAACAATAAACCCCTATATGTGTAGGACATGCTGTTTTTTTTATTGTTGCATTGAATTCCACCTAAGGACATATTTTGTTTATCTTATTTGGTGGATATCCTCTTGGTATGTCCTTGAAATACTTGTCACTGATGTTAAAGGTCAAATTCACTCTCAAGGTCATACACTTAAATATGAATTTTGTTCATGATAATTTGAGAAGTTCACAAACCAGGACTTTTCCAATCATCAATGTGGTGGCACAAGGTTCTGTGCACAGATCACAAATCAGGTGAAGTTAAGTAACGTCAGTCGTGGGGAGTCGGATGGGTGACCTTGTTTCGGCAGCTTGGCTCCTGATAGTTTCTGGGGCTTTGGTCCTGCCCCACACTGTAACATGTGGTGTCTCCTTGGGCAAGTGAGTTTGTTTGAAATGTGCCTCCACCCCCAGCAGTGAATGGGTAACCAGTGGGGTGAGTTTGTTTGAAATGTGCCTCCACACCCAGCAGTGAATGGGTAACCAGTGGGGTGAGTTTGTTTGAAATGTGCCTCCACACCCAGCAGTGAATGGGTAACCAGTGGGGTGAGTTTGTTTGAAATGTGCCTCTTCACCCAGCAGTGAATGGGTAACCAGTGGGGTGAGTTTGTTTGAAATGTGCCTCCACACCCAGCAGTGAATGGGTAACCAGTGGGGTGAGTTTGTTTGAAATGTGCCTCTTCACCCAGCAGTGAATGGGTAACCAGTGGGGTGAGTTTGCTCGAATTGTGCCTCTTCACCCAGCAGTGAATGGGTAACCAGTGGGATGAGCTGGCAATTTGGTTAAGCTTCTAGCGCCTGACAGGCAGCTTGGGTTGTATACTCCCCAGGGAGCTGAGAATGGTTGCTGTGTGCTCACTGATCCAGTGACCGGGGTAATAATAGCACTTTCAGTATGCCTGTGTGGCATGGAAATATGAGCAACATAAATGGCCTATTTACTATTATAATTATTATTATTATTATTATTCCACTAGTTGCCCAAGGTCAGACCGAACAAAAAACAACAACTTGGTATGTGAAATTTATTCTGCGGCAATACAAGGTCAACTAAGAATACATCAACAATGTCTAAAGTTTGGACAATATTTTTTTAAGTTCAAGAAAACTGGACCCAAAAATAAATTTCAACAAGCAGTACCCATATACATAACATTAATGAAAATTAAACTTTGAAATAAGATACAACATGTGTTTTGTCATGACACCCATTGCAGGGGCCACAGACTTGTACAATACACAAGAACTACATCAACTTGTGTATTGCAAACTCCTACCTGCCTCAAGGCGTTCTCTTGTATTTCTTGGTTCACAGAACTGCTGACTCAACAGTTTGAATAAAACAACATTTGAAGAAGTTTTATCTTCCCACTGAACTTACTGAATATGTTGCCAAATTTCACCAAACCCCCATAGTGTCAAAATGGGAAAGCATGTAATTCACCAGCTGATCAATGTTTCTGAACCGCTTTGGTTTTGACAAAGATAAATTAATTCACATTAATGAGCACAATGTAAAAAGGAAATGTTTTTTGTCAGTTCCTTAATGTACATACTGCTCCATTTTTGATAGAGATACATATTTTTTCTTTCCTTTATACACAAAACTCATTCTCATAATGTCAAGAGTATGTTTAAACAGCATGACATGTCTGATTATCCCTATCAAAAGGTGAGTGGTGTATTATTTTCATATTGAGCACAAACATGGTATTTAGATCTGCAAACCAAGGAACTCCAAAGATGGGCTGGTCATTTATTATGGAAGTTGGCCAAAGATTTGTCTATTGTCACATCAAATACAACCCTCCCCAAATGTTGTTTGTCTTTTCATGACCCTCCCTGTAAAGCCTAACTTTATTATTCTCCCAATATTTATTTAATCAAATATCTAAATAACAAATTAAATCAATTATGTAGACCATGATCTTAATGTTTTCCCTCCAACGATACTGGATTCTCGTTGAAAAGGCACCCTTTTTTTTAAATAAATGACCGGTCCCTTCACTGCAGCCAGCAGTTGCACACACATCTTCATGTCCATGTAAACACGTTGATGCAACCTTCTAACAGAAATACTAAGTATCAACAACTACGCCTGGGACAAGCTGTGGGGTATAACATCCATCAGACCACAAGAAGTTGATTAGATATGGCCCATCTCCATTTCAGGGGATGGCTGATTTCTTGTTATGATCAGAATTTAATCTTTTTCCTGAACTATCTTGTGTAAATTTACTTAGGCCAAAACAAACTCATGTTAAGATATGCAATCCTTTTGATTAATTAAACAAAATGTGTTTTGAAATTTTGAAAATAACTTGACTGTGTTGTGCTGTGCCATATATATACTACTTAACTTTGGTAAGGACATTTCTGTACAAGGAGTAACAGAAATGTCCTTATCCAAAGTTGTGTTGTATATACTCTTAAATAAATTGTATACTACTCAAAAGAAGTTAAGGATCACCTGATTCTTTCATATTACTATAGTTAATCTCTCATGTCATGACAGATTAACTTTACCATTATGAAAGAATCGGGTGATCCTTAACTTCTTTTGAGTAGTATATTTTAATTTAGAAATTGCATGCGTAGAACAAATAATTAACTTGATGTGTCCCAATGGCCCAGTTTAAGAAATGTACAGAAGCTTTCAATCTCAAGCTGTTTATGAAAAAAAACCTAAACATATCTAACGTCATTCTCACAGAGAGCAAAGGGCATAATAAAATCAACATCCAACTTAATCCAATGCTTGACCCTAATAACTACCAAAACATAACAGTCGTCACAGCACAATGACATGCAATCATTTTTGTGCAACAGTAGAAAATCCACATCAAGGCCTTCAGTTCAAATGATCACACGGACAACTGACGCATTGCAATACCAAGTTAAGGTTTGGTGGCTTGTCAAATATTGACCAGTATTATCAACTTGATACACTCTATAGGAAGAATAAACCACTGGTCTTAAACAAAGCCAAGTGCTATATTATGGAGAGTAGCACCAAGCTAGAAAGTAAGTGACAGTAATTGTCAAGAACACCATCTTTTTATCATGAAATCATTTAATACAATAATCAATGTGTCTCAAACACATTGTCCTATGACTGTCATTTCTGACAAACTAATACTTTAGCTTTCATCAGTGGAGACAGAAGAATGTTGATATTTCACCTGAGTTGGCCAAGTCTAAATGCAATGCTTAGCTTACTATGCCATTAAACTGATAAAGCCTTGATGAAGTATGTTACAAGGCTTTATGTGGTACGGAATAAATGAAGTGAATTTGTGAAGCTTAGGCATGAATCTAGGAACAATATCAAGCTTTGGGTCCTATTCCAAGAAGTGAACTTTTCCCAGGCATCAGGTCAGTAGTTTAAGAAGAGAGCTAGTTAAGAATTAGTGTAGACAGCTCTACATGAGTTTACTAAGATATATATCCCTTTACCACCAGAACTATTATACAAGTCCTAACACTTAGAGGAACAAGACTCTGGGACCTCAACACACAAATGATCAAGACTTGGTCACATTTGTTTTGCCTTAAGGATCCGCTGACTTTAACAAGAAAATTCAGATAAAAAATAACATATCAATCAGAATGACAACTTTTTTTAAAAACTGTCGACGATAAAGATCACTTTGATTGTGTCCATGGTAGTCCTAGGACCATCATGTTCTAAATCCAGTGCTTTAATATGGACTGAGTCTGTTGCAGCACCTATACACTGCTGAAGACCTTTGCTTGTTGCAGTCCTAAGATCATTAAGTTGTAATTTTTATACTATACTATAGATATATATGCCTGTTGTAGCCCTCAGATAACTAAGTTGTAACACCTATACTTAGCTATAAACTTATGCCTGATGTAGTCCTAAGATCATTGTAATTTCTATACTTTGTTGTATACTTAATACCTCTAGTAGCCAAAGGATCATTGTAATTTCTATACTTAGCTATAAACTTATGCCTGTTGTAGCCCTAAGATCATTGTAATTTCTATGCTTTGTTATATACTTGATGCCTCTAGTAGCCATAAGATCATGAAGTTAATTTTAATGCCTCTAGTAGCCATAAGATCATGATGTTTTAAGTTTAATGCTTCTGGTAGCCATAAGATCATGAAGTTTATATTTTAATGCCTCAAGTAGCTAAAGATCATGAAGTTATAATTTTGATACCTCTAGTAGCCATAAGATTGTTTTTGTACTTTTTATACTCTGCCCTGTCCTAACATCATTAATTGTAATCCTATACCTCTGCGTGGCCAATGATGTTGCAGCCCCAGAATCACTTTGTGGAATAGGACCATGTTATTGAGGAAATCAAGTAAACTTTAATGCCTATTTGGATTACACAATATCATTTTGTTACAAAAGGACCAGCCTTTTCCTTAAACTTTAGAAACAGTAACAGATCAATAAAGACGAAAAGCAGATAGAAATAACGACCACCATGCAAAGTTCTCATGCTCAGTACTCCGCCACCAGGTTCATGTTGCATGACCTACAAATGTAACGTTCGCACAACTCATTGTATTAATTCGAACATTACCTTTAGAACTGCAAATCATAAATTTTGTTAGCTGTTTTCTAAATTCATTTTTTTCCTTTAATCATCAATTTAAAGGCAAAAAAAAAATTAATTTATTTTGTGCAAATACTTATTTAAAGTAAACATATCTTCAATTCAACAAATTGCATCCTATGACCAATCGACACAACTCGTAACTTTATGTCATGTACATGGCCTTTGTGATTCTTCACATCTCGACAACATTGCGCAAATGTACGACTTGTATCACAAAGTAACAGACTGGAGGATTGCATCAAGATTTATTTTCGTACACATAGAAATGCATTTGGAGCTGTACTGTGTGAAATGATGATATAAACAAGAAAAGGGGATGAAACGATTCACCAAAGCGACACAAAACGATTCATAAAACATGTACACAAATCAGCAAAACATCGAACAGCATTATCTTGATATAACTGTAAGGGAAAGGTATATTATGAAACACTTAAGGCCGGACCACCCATGAACAAGGAGCAGGACTAACTGGGGGGTCAACATGCACAGAGACAGTCATGGAAATTAACAACTTCGGTGTTTTTGACATGAAATCAAAACCTTTTTATTTGTACACCATGCTTAAGGCATCACAGGTCAAATTTTTCACCAAAAAATCTTATTAATGCTCCAATGAAAAAATCACAATTTCAATATATTTTCATGCTGTTACAAGTATTTTCAGTATGATTAATATAGTCGGCTTAATGCGGATGGAAAACTCAAAGTGACGAAGGTTTTGGACGTGAAACCCATGTACATGAGTTTGGTGCAGGGAAACCAAGGTTCAGAATTGGCAGAATCTGGGACTCGAACCCCTAATTTACTGAATACTGGTACGGCTTAAGGATACAAATCTTCACAGCGAGTTGCACTTCTTAAACCATTGCACCACCTTTTGCCCCATAAAATCTATGAAAATAAATTTGTTACACTGAAGATGATAGAGCATGGAACAGTTTGTGACCTGTGCATCATGCTGCAGACTTTGATGTATCATTTCACCCCAGTAATAGATGAAGAGTGACTGGAATGGTACAGATATGGGCGTATTCAGAGTATGACATCATATCACATCAACTGGGGAAGAAGAAAAAAATATACACAAGTACTTCACTATAAATAACATATTAAATATTTTCCAAATATTCATTGGATTAATCGACAGTCTTGCCCATCACACTTGCCTACTTTACTTGCGTAAATGGTTACCTTGACCTCTGGATGATCGAATGATCACCTTGACCTCTGGATGACCGAATAAACACCTTGACCTCTGGATGACCAAATGATCACCTTGACCTCTGGATGACCGAATGATCACCTTGACCTCTGGATGACCGAATGATCACCTTGACCTCTGGATGACCAAATGATCACCTTGACCTCTGGATGACATTCAAGGTCAGATTGCAAATTTTGGATCAACCATGCTACAGTAACAGTGTTGATGTGAGCCGCAAAGTAAATCATCCCTGACAACCCCCATTCACTTTTTACTCATAAAACAAATGTTAAGTCCCCATAAATTTGAAAGGTATGAATATTTCTATATGACAAAATATAAGCATTTCGAGTGTTGGCAAAATGTACACAAGAGCCTCTCGTTTGGTAAGGATATAAGTGTACTGTGCACTGCCATGGACATATAACAGCTTAATAGTACTGCGCAGCGTCTCTATGATAAAGCATATATTGGATGTTTTATTGTGATGTAAAAAATATAAAACACATCTAGAACTAATGTAGAATGTGGTATTTAGGTAGTTGCAGTCCCTCACTGCTGGTAGGATATAAACTGGTAACCATGGTAACACAGACTATGTTATTGTATAATTGTCTGTAGAATGGTAGTTGTTCAAAGGTTTTCCTGTTAACACTGTCAAATATTATCCATTTCACAAGTTAGCAGCAAATGGTAGAATTTTCAATGGTTAGCAATATATAGTAGAATGTTTCACACAGTTAGCGATATGGTAGAATTTCCACATGGTTGGCTATAAATGGTATAAGTTTTATACTGGTAATAGAATAAAAGATCAGCATTCTGACAAGGAAACCAATACCATTATAACTAATACAGATGGTAGACCGAGGACACACATCACTCCCTCCACACTTCCCATCACTACTCCATTCTTCAGTAAACATCTTGTCAGATATTGAGGAACCAGATCTGAAACTTGGACTGGATTTGTTTAATAGTATTTCAGTTATTTTGAATAGTATTTCAGTTATTGTAAGCTATATGTTGGAAGAAAAGCCAAAGTGCAGTAGGTTGTCGACATTTACTATTTTTGTGAAGCCTACAGACATGGTACCGAAAGATTACTACAGGCATCGGTATGGTTACAACCAACCACAGGCATCAGTATGGTTACAACCAACCACAGGCATCAGTATGGTTACAACCAACCACAGGCATCAGTATGGTTACGACCAACCACAGGCATCGGTATGGTTACAACCAACCACAGGCATCGGTATGGTTACGACCAACCACAGGCACCGGTATGCTTACGACCAACCACATGCATCGGTATGGTTACGACCAACCACAGGCACCAGTATGGTTACGACCAACCACAGGCAACGGTATGGTTACGACCAACCACAGGCAACGGTATGGTTACGACCAACCACAGGCAAGGGTATGGTTACGACCAACCACAGGCAACGGTATGGTACTAAGAGACCAACCAGAAACAGCACTAAGTCAGTCCATATGGGCTGATTGTTTACATAAGGAAATCAATGATCAGCCCTATCCCACCATTCATAACATAACATCTTTCCTCTTTAAAGTAAATACAGATGGCACTTTCTTACAAATGTAAAAATATGCAATTTTTCGGAAAACATTTCAAATCTAGCCAAAACCTTATAGTCCAAATGATTCCACCAGTCGAGAAGCAGCCACGTTCATATACCCTGTGTACCAAAGGGTCTTGTAGCTCCAGGGGATGCGCTGCCGGCCACATCTTTCCCCAGGGAAATCAGCACACAGTGATGTGCGTCTACTATACAGGTGTAGGACCAGTCTACTAGACCGGGTGATGGCATGTACCTCTGCATCTCATCTACACACATCTGGTCTACTGGAGAGTGGTGTCCATCACAACGAAACACGGAAGAGGAAAACAAACATAAAATGTCATCTAATGTATAAATAACCATTGACACACAGAAACATGAGAATGATGAAGTTTGGTAAACACTTGAATAAATACCGCAGTTAGTGGCGAAAAGAAAATATTTTTATTTATGGTTCAGTTGTAACCATGGTTACACAAGCAGAAATGATAATCCTGCAAATAATAAGTTTCTTTTAACAGTTGGCAATGACCAGTGTTTACATACGAGAAAGATATGAAATTTGAAGTCGTCTACGCGATGAAAGAAGTGCACACAGAAAACCCCAATACGAAATACTTCCAATGAAATGCTTTAACACTGGGGACTTCAGTACAAAGTCAACTTTCATGCAATTATTATTATTGTTTATGATTGTTATGATAATTGCCATACTTAGACGACAAGTTGAAACTTGAAATGAAGCTGAAAATATGCCAATTTCTTGTCACTATAAAATACTATTAGTACGACAACATCCCTCCATGATTGTTTGTTCGCTGACTTCTTTATAAATCTTTGGACTCATTCTCTGAAGGATGGGTATTCGGGAGGGAAGCAGGGGGACTTAGTGGACTGTAAAGGGTATTTATCCCGGTGCTTACACTTCTTTCTCTCATTTGAACACCAGCTTGAGACAAGATGCTGATCGTAGTCAACTCATGCTCCTTTTCACAAAATATACACGGCATGTCTTGTAGAACAAGTCATTTTGGCAGTACTTTACACACAAATCCAGAAACAACACGCAGAAAGGCAACTTTAAGACTCAGAGACCATTCTACCGAAGATACATAGAAATTTACATGTCTGATATGGTTGGTCGTCACAGCAGGGACAAAACTATCTATCTGTAATGAAGACAAAAAAAGACTTATTTTGCTTGTAGAAAAACAGCAAAACGCAGTACTTGTGTAGGTATCACATATATATAATATAATATATTTATATATTTCTCCAAATTTAAATACACATTTATCAAAATTGTAAGACATCGTAATGGAGGAAGCTGATATAGCACTTATACTGAATATAGAGGATGGGGATCACAAATATTTCGGATTTATTTTTTTGGGTAGTGAGACTGAGCACACAATTTCATAAAATATCCTAAAAAATATTCATGATCTCTACCTTTTCGGGTTCAGTATATAAAACAAAGATAACAAACACAGTATTGGAATCAGTCTTGTGGGGAGTAGTTTATCACAAGCGCAATACTGAAGTAGAATTTGTGATTTACATTTCAAGGGAAAGAAACAATAACAGATTCAATCTTGTATACACTATCTGAAGACAATCACAATGTTTATATGATCAAGAAAGTCTAAACTTGTACTTTGTTAGCATCTTGCTTGATGGGAGTTGCTGAGCTGTTGGTTCTCAGATGAGACTAAGATCCGTAATTCTTTTGAAGATTCCATCAAACACAGTTGTGATTACATAAGCATCTCAAGCAACTCATCTCGTCATATTTTAATTTAAATCTGAAATAATTGACAATTTTAATTTTTCTTAAATTCATTTAAAACACTTTTATTTCTCATGTAGAAAAAGATACTTGTTCACATTATTGCCCCTTTTATCAATGGAGTCAATATCAGGGGGTTTCAAACAAGCTACCAACGTGCATCTTGGCACGATATAACAAAAGTCTTCAGATTTAGGTCAGGACAATACTGGCGATGCGAAAATGATCAAGATGAGAATCATTCTTATTCATACTTGTGTTAATTATCACCGGCAGATCAGGAACATCGATTCCTTATCTATTTCCCAGTTCCCGTGTCGCTACTGAAAATTCTCCCTCTGTGGATTCGTCGAAAATGTGCACCACACAAAATAGAAACGGTGGAAAAAAACAGAACAGTGAAAACTGTCTATATTTTAATCTGGGGAGAGGATAGCATCATCCATTTCCTGGTCCCAAAATTCTTCAAAGTAAGCACCATACGCCCCTAACTAAAGGCTCTCTCACCCATATAGCTTTGTAAAATGTCCTGGCCCAAACTGAAATTCTTTGGAAAGGAAGAACATTTTACAAAAAGGTGAAATCTTTTTCAAAAAATATCTTGCTTCCATTATTCACCGCAGCAGTATAGCTAAGAAATAGTAACAACACAGTCCTAGTTAATAATATTAGTACAAAAGTTTGTTCTTTGCAAGATGATAACGAGGACTGAGAAATCCACGTGACAACATTGATGTATGTATACACAATTGGACCAATCATCGACTGCAAATAACAATGGACCAAACAAGATCACAGACCTCCCTCGCTATAACAACTACTGGTTCCTCTTTATAATGCACACTTCGGTATTCAACAATCGGATTTCTCAAACTGAAAGGCCAACAAACATCCCTTTGTAGGAAATGCATAAAGAGCACCATCAAGGTTTTTTGTAAATTATCTAATGACTAATAATTTAATGATGTCAATAAGTTTTTTGGTGAAAAATGATTCAATATCTCCAGCATGAAACTCCTAGAATTGAATTCTGAATGATCAATTTTCATAAAACTGATTTGGAAGGAATGAATATTTTTTTGTTAGATACTTTTTTGCTGACAGTTTCTCCTGTAACAAGAATCCTGCTGACTGGTCAGTGATGACTGACAAGAGCAACCAAGCTTCATCACAGCGAGGGAGTGCTACTGTTTACACTTGACCTGGTCATCTAGAAGGGAACTGTTTGGACGCTGTGAACATGGTCTTCTTACATCATCTCTGTCGTCACAGCTACGTCTCCCGCTAAGGACAGTAAGACAATATCAAACAGTGAGAGACTGTGCCGCAGCAGACACGGCCATCTATACAGGAAGTAGTAATCAGAGTTATCTCTCCTGGGTCCACCATAACTTGTACCTGATGGACGTGGAAAGTATATGGCCAGCGGCATTAAATTGAAGCTCACTCTGATGTTCTTCAATGTTCTGTCCTTGGATTCTTCATAGTGTCAGGAATATGGTTTCTAATAAATTCATCTGGCCTGGAAGAGTGAAACATATGTTTGTACTGACAGTATTACTGAGGTTGGTTGGTTTGTTGGTTTGTTGTTTAACGCCGCACTCAGCAATATTCCAGCTATATGTCGGCAGTCTGTAAATAATTGAGTCTGGACCAGACAATCCAGTGATTGATATCATGAGCATCGGTCCACCCAATTGGGATCGATGGCATGCATCAACCAAGTCAGCGAGCCTGACCACCCGATCCCGTTAGTCGCTTTTTACGACAAGCATAGTCACCTTTTACGGCAAGCATGGGTTGCTGAAGACTTATTCTACCCCGGAATCTTCACGGGTCGTATTACTGAGGAAACTGCTGGACATTCGAGAAGCTTGTTTTACTGGTTATTTAAACAACAACAATATTCCAGTCATGTGGAGAAGACATTACGGAGATTGTTTGTTTGTTTGTTGTTTAACGCCGCACTCAGCAATATTCCAGCTATATGACGACAGTCTGTAAAAAATCGAGTCTGGACCAGATAATCCAGTAATCCAGCAATTGGGATACGATGACATGCATCAACCAAGTCAGCGAGTCTAACCACAACAGACTATATAGTCGCCTTTTACAGCAAGCATGGGTTGCTGAAGACCTATTCTACACCGGATCTTCACGTCCATTCCAGTGACAGATATTATGAGCAACAATCCATGCTGTCGTGGTAGCACACTTCTTCCAGATTTTCACTAGTCTGTCACAAATAGGTATCAAGCTCGCCTAAGGGATTCAACTGCATCGCGAATCATGGCACCATAGACGACTGGGCCACTGGGTGAGTGTGGTCGTTACCTTCTAGAGGTTCTTGTCCGCCCGCTCCTTGATGAGGATGGTCTCCTGAAAGATGAGCTCCTTCAGTCGCTCTTTAGGCAGATCGTCAAGCTCCATCTCGAACGTGAAGGGTTCCTCCGCCACAGGCTGAAACAAGTGAGTGACCAAGTGAGTATGGGTCAGCCTTCAAAATTAACGCCAGTGCTAACAATAAGGTTATCACTAGTCCTAAAGTACTACTGTACTACAGCAATGTAACCGCCTGTCAGCTGAGTGAGTGAGTGAGTTGGGTTTAACGCCACTTTTAACAGTATTCCAGTTAGATCATGGCATGTCAGCTTAATGTGGGAGAAAAGCCCGAAGTGATGCAGGTCTAAGACGTTTACCACTTCGGTGAAACCCACAAGCACGGTGCTGACAAACCTAGAAACATCATTGGAGCGAACCGGGATTCAAACCCACGATCATAGGTTTCTGGCGTGCCCAAGGGACGCAACTCTGCACAGCGAATCGCGGCGCCTCCGCCTGTCAGCTGAATGTTAGGAGCCTACAGCAAAGCTCCACCCAGACTTTCACTTGGACATGACATATCTCACCTCTTCCACAGGGTCTTAGTATGGGCGAGACAGTGACCAACGAATCTCACCTCACCCACAGGGTCTTTGTATGGGTGAGACAGTGGCAGTAACGATGTCATCTCACCTCATTCACAGGGAGTAAGTATGGGTGAGCAGTGGCAGTAACCACGGCATCTCACCTCATCCACAGGGTCTACGTATGGGTGAGACAGTGACAGTAACCATGTCATCTCACCTCATCAGCTGGGTCATAGTACTGCTCTAGGTATGGGTGAGACAGTGACTGCTCTACTGTTATCCTCTTCTGTGGGTTGAACGTCAACATTTTGTCGAGGAGATCCAGAGCTGGAAAACAGAAACAACGCTGTCATTACAGTGGAAACTATGCACTGCAATCAGTGAATGAGTGAGTGTGGTTTTATGTCACTTTTAGCAATATTCAAGCAATATCACCTCAGGGAACACCGGAAATGGGCTTCACATATTTAATGTGGGGAATCAAACCCAGGTTTTTGGCATGACAAGTGAACACTTTAACCACTAGGCTACCCTACCTTCCCCACTGTTATCAGAAGGACAGCGTTCATACATCTTAAGTTGCCATTGCCATTTTTTTCTGCTTAACACAGCAATATTACATCACGCAAACCATTTAAATAATTGGCAATGGCAAATTAGTCGGTGACAGCATGAGTGAATGAGTACGGTTTTACGCCGCTTTTTGTAATATTCCAGCAATATCACGGCGGGGGACACCAGAAATGGGCTTCACAGGTGACAGCATGAAGCTTCCGTGCCATCAAGGCACAATGATACACACAGTCTAATCTTACACTGTGACTACCTGATCTCCACCAGTGGTTAATGTGACGAGCAGAGTACTGGGAACCTATTCTGACCCAGAATCACCCCCCAGTTTCCGGTAGAAGGATAATTGAAAGATTGTGCATCTTAAACTCACCACCAATGGATTACCGTCTCTTGTTTGTGTTTTTTGTAAGCTCTTGCACATAGTACTCACTAACAATTCCATTCCATAACAAAGGCCCCTAAATAATCAAGCCTGGACCAGACAATCCAGTGACTAAGAACCAACACCATCAACCAAGTCACCGAGCAATTTTATCACCTCTTATGTTTGTTTTGTTTGTTGTTGAACGCCGCACTCAGCAAAATTCTGTAATATATCGAGTCTGGAACAGACAATCCAGTGATTGACATCATGAGCATCGATCTATGCATCCATGCATCAACAAAGTCAGCGAGCCTGACCACCCAATGTCGTTCGTCGCCTATTATGACAAGCATAGTCGCCTCTTACGGCAAGCATGGATTGCTGAAGACCTATTCAAACCCGGATCTTCAAGGGTCTCACCTCTTATGACAAGCATAGGTGGCTGGGAACCTACTGACAATATAATCCCTTCAGGGATAGTTCCCACACTCTTACGCCTCTGTGAACTCTACGGGGGACAGCTGTACATTTACCTTTATCATCTGCCTTAGTGAATAACCTGTTCCATGGCACCTTGGGCTTGAACGGCAGAGACTGAATATACCCACGTGCCTGGAACAAAACATGATATGACATCATCATCATCATCATCATCATCATCATAATAATAATAATAATAGGCTATTTATATAGCGCATATTTCCACACCATTCACGGGCATGGTCAAAGCGCTATTACTATTATATAATATTACCCTGGTCCCTGAATCTGTGTGCACTCAACAATCATTCTCAGCTCCCTGAGGAGTACACAACCCAAGCTGCCTGTAAGGCACGAGAAGGTTAACAACCACATTGCCATCTCATCCAACTGGGTACCCATTCACTGCTGGTTGAACAGAGGCACATTTCGAACAAAGTCCCCTGCCTAAGCAGACACCACGTGCTTCAGTGTGGGGCAGAACCGAAGCCCTAGAAACACTCAGCAGTCAAGCTGCCTTGACGCGGTCACCCATCCGAGGACTCTCCACAACCAACATTGCTTAACTTCCTAACTTCCACAACATGAGACAAAATGTCCGCAGCAACCATTTTTTCAAATCATATTATTCATATGGGCAAGAGCAATGGCAATCATGCAATCCCCTCGAGGGACTACACTGACAAACCAAGGCCTATAATCAGGTCAGGCGAGGTAAAATGGGGTTTAACCTTGCGTTCAAGATTATTGCAATTCCAAAGCATGTTTGTTTATTTGTTTGTTTGTTGTTTAACGCTGCACTCAGCAATATTCCAGCTATATGACTGCGGTCTGTAAATAATCGAGTATGGATCAGACAATCCAGTAATCGACATCATGAGCATCGATCCCAGGAATTGGTATACAATGACATGCATCATCAAACAAGTCAGCAAGCCTGACAACCTGATCCCGTTGGTCACCTCTTACGAGAAGCATTGTCGCCTTTTACGTCAAGCATGGGCTGCTGAAACCTATTCTACCCCGGATCTTCACGTCTGAATATGTAGCATGTATGTGTCTGCCTGCTTGTATTAGTGCAGAGTAAAGTCGGCTTAACAGAGCTAGCACGCTGAGCTACCATGTTGCATTTCAACATGGACATCCAGCTCAGTCACAGTATACTGTCTCTGAGGCGATCAGGCTTTGTTTAATCCCCTTAATGTCGAGAAACAGGCAGTCCCGTCTTTTAACATCTTTTGTCATGAAGCAGCTGGTGATCAAACCACAGACCTCCTGCTCTCCAAGCAGACACTCCATCTACTAGACCATGGAGGCAGTCGCCAACAATCAGGTGAGGTGAGGTGAAATTGGGTTTAACGTCGCGTCCAAGATTATTGCACTTATATAGCGACGTGCATGCACGTGTGTGTCTCTGGCTGCTTGTACTAGTCCGGAGTGATGCCGATTTATAGTGCTAGCTCACTGAGATACCATGCCGTAGTTTAACATGAATACCCCACTCAGACACAGTATACTGACTCCGAGCCGACCAGTCCTTGTTTTAGTCCCTTAATGTCGAGCGCCAGACAGGGTAACAACAAGTACCATCTTTTAACGTCTTTTGGTATGATGCGGCCGGGGATCTAACCCCGGACCTGCCGCTCTCCGGGCTGACGCTCTACCACAAGACCACGGAGGCGGCTCCAACAATCAGGAAAATCTGGGATTTGTACCTACAAGAGACCAGCCCCTACACCAGTGATTGTACCTTCTCATTGATGATACAGTTGAGATCTTCTTGACTTGGCGAACCCAGCACGCCCAGGATGTGATTTAACTGATCAAGATCTACACATGTTAAGGCATAAACAATACATAAGTTGACAAATACTCTCATTTACATACAAATTTCTGATAATTCTGATGTAAGACATCTCTTTTATTAATTCAACCTTTTTATAACAATGAGCTTTTCAGCATAGTGAGTGAGTATGGTTTTACGCCGCTTTTAGCAAAAGTCCAGCAATATCACGGTGGGGGGACACCAGAAATGGGCTTCACACATTGTACCCATATCGGGATTCGAACCCGAGTCTTTGGCATGGCGAGCGAATGCTTTTACCACTAGGCTACCCGACTGCCCCTTTTTCAGCATAGGAAAACGGTACCAGGATATACTTAAGATATTGACGTTGAAGAAAAAGATATTGACATTGAAGAAAAAGAAGATAAAACAAGTATTTGTCAGAGAGTGACGAAATATCCCCAGCCATATACACCATAGTACCAAATATGAAGACAATCCAGCGATTAGTTCTTGAGATATTGTGGCAACACCGTTTTCCAACTCCAAAAACAGATTTGCCTGCTGTGACCTTGAAAATGGGGTCAAGGTCACCAAATCTGACAGGTGTATGCGGTGTCTGTATATACACTATAGTTCCAAATATGAAGACAATCCAGCGATTAGTTCTTGAGATATCGCGGCAACACCGTTTTCTAACTCCAAAAGCAGATTTGCCTGCTGTGACCTTGAAAATGGGGTCAAGGTCACCAAAACCGACTGGTGTCTGTGGTGTCTGTATATACACCATAGTTCCAAATATGAAGACAATCGAGAGGTTTAGTTCTTGAGATATCGCGGCAACACCGTTTTCCAACTCCAAAAGCAGATTTGCCTGCTGTGACCTTGAAAATGGGATCAAGGTCACCAAAACCGACTGGTGTCTGCGGAGTCTGTATATACACGATAGTTCCAAATATGAAGACAATCCAGTGTTTAGTTCTTGAGATATCGCGGCAACACCGTTTTCCAACTCCAAAAGCAGATTTGCCTGCTGTGACCTTGAAAATGGGGTCAAGGTCACCAAAACCGACTGGTGTCTGCGGTGTCTGTATATACACCATAGTTCCAAATATGAAGACAATCCAGTGTTTAGTTCTTGAGATATCGTGGCAACACCGTTTTCCAACTCTAAAAGCAGATTTGTCTGCTGTGACCTTGAAAATGGGATCAAGGTCACCAAAACCGACTGGTGTCTGCGGAGTCTGTATATACACCATAGTTCCAAATATGAAGACAATCCAGTGTTTAGTTCTTGAGATATCGCGGCAACACCGTTTTCCAACTCTAAAAGCAGATTTGTCTGCTGTGACCTTGAAAATGGGATCAAGGTCACCAAAACCGACTGGTGTCTGCGGAGTCTGTATATACACCATAGTTCCAAATATGAAGACAATCCAGTGTTTAGTTCTTGAGATATCGCGGCAACAAACAGGTGGGACGTACGGACGGACGTACGGACGGACGGACGTACGGACGGTCGTGAATACTATATCCCCCGCTTCGCGCTTTCGCGCGGCGGGGGATAACAGACAATTCTCAGTCCTTTGTAACATTTGTGCAAGCAGGTCTACTTGTTTGTTTGTTGTTTAACACTGTACTCAGCAATATTCCAGATACATGACAGCAACCCTTAAATATTCCAGTGATCAATATCGTCAGCAACGATCTATGCCGCTGGTGTACGATGTCACGTGATCAACCAAGTCATCGAGTCTGACCACCGGTTCCATTAAGTCACCTCTTTCTCAGCATAGTTTGCTATTATTTAAATAAACTGTGAAATAACTGGTAACAGTTTTTGTAATTTCAAACTTTCATGTTTTGTCACAAATCTACGGAAGCCTTTTAGGGCGATCAGTTTTTGTAATTCTTTCATTGACATTTCAAGATGCTAAGTTGAAATTTCAAGACAATAATTTGAAATTTCAAGACACTTAGTTGAAATTTCAAGATGCTATGTTGAAATGTCAAGATGCTAAGTTGGATCTCAAGATACTATGTTGAAATTCCAAGAAACATATTAAGTTGAAATTTCAAGAAAATGAACATATGTATCTGGAACTTTCAACACAACATCTTGAAAATTCAACTGAGTATCTTGAAATTTCAAGAAAAAAAACAAATGGCCCTAAAAGGCTTCTGTACAAAAACAGAAACAATCCACACAAGTGGATGCTTTTAATGACATTCATATGTCTATAGCTTCAGTTAATACAACAAACAGTGAACAAAGTATAAACTGCTATGGTAGGTGTGATGTGTCACATGGACTTTGCCCCCGACATAGATCTTGGTTACAATGGGTTTATAAAGGATACAGTGTTTCCCTGGAAACAAGGGCCTGTTGGAGAGCATCTCAGCGAGGATACAGCCAACCGACCACACATCAACTGAAAACATGCTAAGGAAAACATTTGAGGAGAACACGAAATGTTTCTGACAATAATACTTTGCTGAACATCTAGGTTTTCAGTTCATATCGTATTGTAGTATTTAAATTGCATTTTGAACTTGACGATTGACATTTTGTTAATAGTGGTAAAATTGTTAAGAGTGTGTCAGTGAGAATGGTTTTACGCCGCTTTTAGCAAAATTCCAGCAATATCACGGCGGGGGACGCCACAAATGGGCATCACACATTGTACCCATGTCGGGAATCAAACCTGGGCCGTCAGCGTGACGAGCAAACGCTTTAACCACTAGGCTCCCCGAGCGCCCCTAAATTGTTAAGAAGTTGGTGAAAGTTTGGGGGCCATATTTTTATGAAAATGTTTGGAAATATTTATGACTCACACCTAGCATGTCAAGACATTTCTTTCCATCATCTGTTGTGGACTCCACATTCAGTAAATAAGTATGACGAAAATGTGTTGGGAGTGAATGTTGTTTTTGCCACAGTCAGCAATATCACAGCCATGTCAAGCAGTAAACTGGGCTGGACAAACCTGTGGCTGACAGCAGGATTTGTTTGTTTGTTTGCTGTTTAACATCACACTCAGCAATATTCCAGCTATATGACGACGGTCTGTAAATAATTGAGACAATCCAGTGATTTGACATCATGAGCATCGATCCAGGCTCATTGGATACAACGACATGCATCAACCAAGTCGGCAAGCCTGACAACCCGATCCTGTTAGTGAGTGAGTTGAGGTTAAGGCCAGTATTGACTAGTATTCCAGTTATATCACTGTGTGTCAGCTTCATGTGGAAGGAAAGCCTGAAGTGATGTAGGTCTCAGATGTTTACCACTTTGGTGAACCCATGAGCATAAGTATGGTTCTGACAAACCTAAAACCATAATTGGTGCAATCCAGGAATCGAAACCCCAATCGTAGGTTTCTGGGTGTCCAAGGGATTCAACTCTGCACAGGGAATTGTTACAGATTGTTACTATTGGCTTTGAGTATTAGCATTGTGTATTTGGGACCTATCTCATGTAGTATCTACACTGAGTGTTCTCGGGCCAAGGATACTGGACTTTGTGTACCCCTTGGAGTTGAGCATGATCTCGGGAGCGCGGTACCACCTCGTGGCAACGTATTCGGTCAGGAAACCTGTGTGGTCGTGGTCAGGGTCGGCCACTCGCGCCAAACCAAAATCACAGATCTGAAACAAAACATACACATGTCAATTTCATTCAAATCAGATCTTTTTCTTCAATACGTAACCTCTCTGTATAAAGATCTGGGGACACTTCCATTGAAGGTCATGTCAGGTGAACTTTATAATCCAGGAAGTATTACCCATTGTGGTCCAAAAAAACTAGCTGATCAGTTCAAGTAAATACAGTGAGTAAAATAGTCTCAAAGTATTGCTGGCAAGATGGTCTAGCTAGCTAAAAGTTACAAGCCAGTTTCAAATTCCGCAAGCATAAAAATGTAAGAGTTTTTGTCCCTACAATGTTTGACATGGCTAATCAAAGTTTGTTAAGTAACACAGCTTGTGATTGGCATGATTGGTTTAAGTACAAAATACAACCAATTTAGAACAACTTTGTTATACCGAAAGAGGATAACTCTAATCTCGCAACCTCGATCGCTACCGAAATTAATTTTTATTCTATTTAATTTTGATGGTCATATAGATCTACAGAAATTAAAGGACTTGTTTTATGCTAATAAACAAAGTGTCATGCATAAACAATCCCCATCAAAATTCTGTAGAGAGTCACTCTTGGGACATTTCAGAACCTTGAGCCCGACCAAAATTTTGCACGTCACAGGCTAGCAGGCTAGCAGGCAGGCAGCAATTTCGCACACTGATCCTGGTTGCCTGTATGTATGGCAGACAAGTTTGGGTGAGGGTAAAACAATGTTGCTGACAAAGCATGGCCAACATTCCATACAGTACTGACTCACCCTCAGCCAGGCACACCAGTCTGGGTTTGTACATTTCTCGGACATGCCTCATTCTGGTTTACCCAGGCAAACCTATACACTTTGTAATGAGTGAGTGAGTGAGGTTGGATAAACGCCGCTTTAAACACTATTCCAGTTATATCGCGGCGTTTCAGCTTAATGGGGGAGGAAAGCCCAAAGCGATGCACGTTTCAGAGTTTTACCACTTCGGGGAAACCCACGAGCACGGATATGTTGCTGACGAAGCTAGAAAATTTCATCCCAAATTTCGGCCCAATAAATTCTGCAATGGAAACATGCAAATACAACTACATGTATATATGTTTGTAGTGAAAGACCCATATGGGATGTGTGTGTCAATAGAGGGATGAGGTCAACATAAGATCATACATTGTTTTACAGATGGATGAGAACATTTTGAGATCACATCTGTTAAGTAGGAGATAGAGGTGCAGTGATAGAAACTAACAGTTTTAGTCCACTGGTCCTTATAATGATAATATACAGCAAAACCCTTGAAATGGGCAAATTTCTACTAGGCCTTATGATACCTTAACTATTTGGCAGTTGGGCAAGGACTATAGGACCTGTTCCAATTTCAAAAGCTTGCAGTGGCTGGAGGTCCTACCTTGAGATCACATGTTGTGTTAAGTAAGAGATTGCAGTGGCTGGAGGTCCTACCTTGAGATCACATGTTGTGTTAAGTAGGAGATTGCAGAGGTTGGAGGTCTTACCTTGAGATCACATGTTGTGTTAAGTAGGAGATTGCAGAGGTTGGAGGTCTTACCTTGAGATCACATGTTGTGTTAAGTAGGAGATTGCAGAGGTTGGAGGTCTTACCTTGAGATCACATGTTGTGTTAAGTAGGATATTGCAGTGGTTGGAGGTCTTACCTTGAGATCACATGTTGTGTTAAGTAGGAGATTGCAGAGGTTGGAGGTCTTACCTTGAGATCACATGTTGTGTTAAGTAGGAGATTGCAGAGGTTGGAGGTCTTACCTTGAGATCACATGTTGTGTTAAGTAGGATATTGCAGTGGTTGGAGGTCTTACCTTGAGATCACATGTTGTGTTAAGTAGGAGATTGCTGGGCTTGAGGTCTTACCTTGAGATCACATGTTGTGTTAAGTAGGAGATTGCTGGGCTTGAGGTCTTACCTTGAGATCACATGTTGTGTTAAGTAAGAGATTGCTGGGCTTGAGGTCTTACCTTGAGATCACATGTTGTGTTAAGTAGGATATTGCAGTGGTTGGAGGTCTTACCTTGAGATCACATGTTGTGTTAAGTAGGAGATTGCTGGGCTTGAGGTCTTACCTTGAGATCACATGTTGTGTTAAGTAGGAGATTGCTGGGCTTGAGGTCTTACCTTGAGATCACATGTTGTGTTAAGTAGGAGATTGCTGGGCTTGAGGTCCCGGTGCAGCACGTTGGCGGAGTGAATGTATTTGAGGCCTCTAAGGATCTGGTAGAGGAAGTAGCAGACATGGTCGTTGCTGAGTTGCTGGGTCTTCAGCAGTTTGTACATGTCTGTCTCCATCAGGCACTGTACAATGTAGCTGTCACCGTTAAGAAAGATGCCACACAAACTGGAGAACACTGCCGAGGATGAAATATTGTTGGACGCCATAGTTGGCAATATTAGCATTAGCCATATGCTGGGCGTTTAAGAACTGTTTGTTGTTTAATGCCCCACTCAGCAATATTCCAGCTATATGACGAAGGCCTGTAAATAATCTTGTCTGAACCAGACAATCCAGTGATTGATACTGTGAGCATCAGTCCATGCTGTCGGAACACAATGCCATGCAATGAAGTGCTCGGTGATTTGGTTGATGGTCTGTCATCATTCCCTTATGGTGCAGAAAAGTGCTCATAATATCAATCACTGGATTGCCTGGTCAAAGACTTGAATATTTACAGGCCGCTGTCCTATAGCTTTTTCAGTGCCGAGTGCAATGCTAAACAACAAAAGAACAACATCTTGGTCGCCGAAACAACATAAGCATTGATATTGAAGGTATGCAACTTAAACACTCGACCCACTTGAGTGGGAGGAAATTGGTACTTCACATCCAGAGCCAGATTTACGCCTTAGTCTTTGTTGCTCAACACGACACTCGCAATATTCAAGCCACATGAAGGCAGCCTGGTTTGTTTGCTTGTTTATTGTTTAACGTCACACTCAGCAATGTTCCAGGTACATGACGGCAGTCTGTAAATAATCGAGTCTGGACCAGACAATCCAGTGATTGACATCATGAGCTTTGATACACGCAAGTGGGATACCATGACATGCATCAACCAAGTCAGCGAGCCTGACCACCCGATCCTGTTACTCGCCTTTTACGGCAAGCATGGGTTGCTGAAGGCCTATTCTAACCCTGATCTTCACGCCTCTGCTGGGACCTGGAATGGCCACCAGAGACAACAAGTGGATAATAATTGTGGAAAGTCCAGACCTGCAGCTCATTATGTTTTTGATTTTACTAAGGCTGTAAAGGATACACATCTTTCATTTCTTCTATGGATGGCGCTCGCAGAATATCACTGATGTTGATGATCTGAAAGGAAAGGGTGAACAGATTGATAACCGCACTTCATTTCATGCCATGTTACTTGAAGACAATGGCTCTGATGATATTGATTGATTGGTTTGTTGTTTAACGCCGCACTCAGAAATATTCCAGCTATATGACGGCGGTCTGTAAATAATCGAGTCTGGACCAGACAATCCAGTGATTAATATCATGAGCATTGATCCACGCAATTGGGATCGATGACATACATCAAACCAAGTCAGCGAGCCTGACCACCCGATCCCGTTAGTCGCCTTTTATGACAAGTATAGTCGCCTTTTACAGCAATCATGGGTTGTTGAAGACCTCTTCTACCCCAGATCTTCACGGGTCGGCTCTGATAATAAGACAGGCAGGTGCTAATAGAGTGAGTTAGTGAGTGAGGTTTTATGCCGCTTTTAGCAATATTCCAGCATTATAACATTGATTGAACGCCGCACTCAGAAATATTGGATTTAGATTTTGGCGAACTGTAAATAATGGAGTCTTGGCCAGACAATCCAGTCATTGACATCATGAGCAACGATCCATTTAAATGGGATACGATGACATGCATTAAACCATTGACGGCTCTCTGGTCAGACGCTCCAGGGGGGCAGACAAGTGAGTGTGATTAAAACTTGGGCTGTTACAATTCACTCACGTATTTGGTGAATCGAGCCGTATCCCTTCATGAATTGAATGTTATTCGTAGCCACTAGAATCGAGAATGTATGATTCTTGAACTCGTCTGTTATTTATCAAAGCGAGATATGCAAAATGGAATATGTTCAAGCCATGTAGCAACAATTTGTGTCAATTTTCAAAGGCAACTTATGGTACTGCCAACCAAAACTTGAGGATATAAGTGGCATTGTCACGATGTACTACTTGTTTGCTTCACAAAAGACAACATTGAAATGTTTCAACCAAGGCAATTACATGACGTACATTTACCTACATTTTAATAAACTTACGTTTTACACTGACACCATGTTTTACCCCAAAAGCAAAGACAATACAAGCTGAGCACATACGACTGGAAGTAACTTGTTATCGTATTCGTGAATAAATGTTCGTATTCATTACCTTATATTCGTGATACGTATCGTATTCGCCTCTGAGTGTATTCATTGCAGCCCTAATTAACACTACTTTACACTGAATCTCAGCCATATAATAGGGGGTCGGTTTCACACTGGAATAAAGCCTGAAGTGATAAAGCAGGTCGTCAACATTGACCATTTTGGTTAAACCCATTAGCACAGGTTTTGTACTGACAGGCCAACAAACACAACCTGGGGCTGAAATTTGATTTTGACACAACCAAGCATACAGTGACTAGAGAAGCATTGTATTACCGTTATACCACGTTGGAAGCGCTAATGCATACATATCAGCTGACTGACTGAGTATGGTTTTACGCCGCTTTTAGCAATTTTCCAGCAATATCACGGCGGGGGACACCAGAAATGGGCTTCACACATTGTACCCATGTCGGGAATCGAACCCGGGTCTTCGGCGTGACGAGCGAACTCTTTAACCACTAGGTAACCCAACCGCCCCGCATACATATCAGAATATGTTTGGAAAATAACAGTATGGTGCAATACATTGTGGTATGTATAGCATACATGAATCAATATTGCAATAAATTGCAATACGAAAAAGTCAGGCCAATACCCATCACTAATAAAAGTGACCCCTTGACCTGTGCCCCGAGTTGAGTGAAGCATGTTAGCTGAATGTGACCATCTTCCTGAGGCAAGGAAGTTAACTGACTGTAAAATTAGTTTCCACCCTTGCCAAACTAGACTGGAATTTCTGGGCTCGAGTGGCTATTACCAGGTATGTGCCTTCTATGTCCCTCCTACTGACTAATCAGATTCCACCTTTTGCTTATAACAAAATGGCAGTGCCTAGTCAAGACAATATTGTAATAAAACTTTGCAAAGTGCATCAAATCATGTGAGCACCTTCTTAAGAAACATGGAACGATTTGGAAAATATCTGTTAACACCGAGTTGGTGGTACACATGCTTTACAAATCCTTCAATCGACCGAAATCTGCACGGCAGTTGACAAACCAGATGTCGATTTAGATACACGATGTATAGACTCATTAGCCTAGCCAAAATAAAACTCCATAATTGCAGCCTAGTTCGGCAAGGGTGGAAAGTGGGGTTTTATAGTCAGTTAACTCCCTTGGCTTGGGAAGATGAATGTGACAGGAAAGCAACCACATTGGTGTATCAACAATCCCAGATATATGCTGCCAGACCAAGTACGAGGGGTGTTCATTAAAGATTTCCTCTAAACCACTTAGGGTTATCATATTTGGTTGAAAATTCACATGTGTAATGATACATGTATCTATAGGCTATGTCTGAATTTGCAGCACTGAACTATTAATCTTACCACTTTTACAGGTGTTATGATCGAGTAGGGTGTGACAATGGTGCCAGTAGAATACCGAGCAGTGATTAGGTTTTTATATTTGAAAGGTCGCACACCAAAAGAAACTTTCGATGAAATGAAAGCAACTTATGGGGAAGATGCCCCATCATATGACGTTGTTAAACACTGGCATCGCCAGTTCAAGTGTGGTCGGACATCTGTGGAAACAGCTGCCATTCCTGGTCGCCCCCATTCAGCCATTGATGAGGACACTATCCATCAAGTGGAGACCGCCATTTTGGCAGACCGACGTATAACTGTTCGCCAGTTAGCACAAGATGTCAAGATCAGTGTAGGGTCTGTGGAAAAAATCATCCATGACAATTTGAACATGCATAAGGTGTCTGCACGATGGATTCCCAGGTTGCTAAAACCCTTCCAAAAGCAGGAACGAGTCAATTGCTCAAAGGATCTTTTGGACATGTGCCAAAAAAAACAGGCAAACTTTTTTGACAGACTTATCACACAGGATGAAACATGGGTCCATCACTATGATCCTGAGACTAAAGTTCAGTCGATGCAATGGAAGCATGTGGAGTCGACCCCCCCAAAGAAGGCACTTGTCCAACCCTCTGCAGGCAAGGTCATGCTCACGGTGTTTTGGGACCAGCACAGAGTAGTGATGATGGATTTTTTGGCAAAGGGTACCACAATTACAGGAGCTTATTATGCTTCACTGCTGCGGAAATTGCAGGACGCTATCAAGCTTAAAAGGCGCAGCATGCTAACCAAGGGTGTCCGTCCCCTGCAAGACAATGCTCCAGTACACAACTCTCATGTTGCCCAGACAGAAGCGCTATGAAATCCTTCCACATCCTCCTTACTCTCCTGACCGGGCACCATCCGACTTCCACCTCTTTTCAACCATGAAGTCATTTTTGAAGGGAAAACGTTTCACACATGATGAAACACTGATTTCCGAAGTCAAGTCCTGGTTTGAGGCCCAAATGAGGGCTTTTACAAGCGAGGTCTCCATAGTTGCATAAAACGATGGGAGAAGTGTGTAACTCTTGGTGGTTCCTGTGTGGAGAAAGACTAATATACCTATGCCAAGTTTCATTCCACTAGGTCCATCGGAAGTGGGTCAGGGGAAATCTCTAATGAACACCCCTCGTATCACAACCAACAATCATCAGACCCTGACTCAGCTGAGGGATACAAACATGTCAGCATGGACCACTGTGCCACCCATGTGACTCTGTTGCCGAACCATGTACACTGCACTCTGTTTTCACAGCACAATAGCCAACGACAAGATTTATACGTGAGGTGAAATGGGCTTAACGTCATGTTCAAAATTATTACACATATATATAGTGTTGTGTGTTGCTGCTTGTTCTAGTCCAGACCTAGTAGTGTTAAACTATAGTGCTTACCCACTGAGATAACTTTCCACAGTGAAAAATGAATACCCTACTCAGACACAGGATACTCCACCTGACCAGTCCTTGTTTTAGTCCCATAATGCCAAACACCAGGCAGGGTAAAAAGAAGTATCACAACCAGGGATCATACCACCGACCTTCCACTCTCCAGACAGACGCAGTATCCACAAGTTTTATAAGTCAAGGCTTTTTTTTATTTTTAGGATTACGGATTTTTCAGCCTAAAGTCCAGGGTTGGAGGAGGGGGAAAAAAAAGAAGCTAGATGCATTTTTTTAATGCAGAATGCCTCTGGCATACTTTATCAACATATTCTGTGCTCAAAAGACCGCCATTTGTGACGATAAAGCCCCTTGTAACAATAAAAATTTGACCACTTACAACAAGGACAATTGGCAAGGTAGGCTATTCATGTTCGGCTTCGAGATCAACAAAGATCGATTATGTATCTCTTTACTAGTTCACAAAGGTAAATTCATATTATTTTTATTAAAAGGTGATGATAACAAATAAAACAAGCATGAAATACTCACATCCCCCGCCAATATGACATGTCAGGTGTGTGCAATGCATTAGCTCCTGTGAACTATGTTCACTGGGCCTTTTTGTAAAGAAATATAGTACGTTTTTCAAGATCTGCTCCGGAAACAAGGACTACCTCCATTTTCAGTCTAAATCAAAGTCGTTGCCATGGAAACTCGAAAAATAACTTTTTAAAAAATCCAAAAACTATCCAAAGGCACCAGTTCACCACTAGACCTATCAATGTGCAAAATATGGTGAAGAAAAATGGTACAGTTTTCAAGATCTGCTCCGGAAACAAGGACTACTTCCATTTTCAGTCTAAATCAAAGTCATTGCCATGGAAACTCGAAAAATAACTTTTTTTTAAATACCAAACTATCAAAAGGCACCAGTTCACAACTAGATCTATCTATGTGCCAAGTTTGGTGAAGAAATATGGTACGGTTTTCAAGATCTGCTCCGGAAACGAGGACTACCGCCATTTTCAGTCTAAATCAAAGTCGTTGCCATGGAAACTCGAAAAATAACTTTTTTTAAAATCCCAAACTATCAAAAGGCACCAGTTTACCACTAGATCTATCTATGTGCCAAGTTTGGTGAAGAAATATGGTACGGTTTTCAAGATTTGCTCCGGAAACGAAATGTGACGGCCGGACGGAAGGATGGAAGGACAGAAGGCCGGACGGACAGCACCCATTCCTATATCCCCCTTCCACTTCATGGCAGGGGATAATTACTGGCTACGCGACTATTGGCGGGGAAAAAAAATGTGGAAATTTGATTATTTTATTTTTTTTACATTTTCTCAAAAATCAGAGTCGGCGGGTTAGTAATCCGAAAAATATAAAATGCCTGGCCTAAAGTTCCTCATGGAAACGCTACAGTGTAGCAGAAACTTAGCCAATGCAACTTACATTTTCATGCTTGAATCTGGTGAGGATCTTGATCTCTCTTAACGTTCTTTGGCAGTATGTCTGATGCTCAAACGGTGATATTTTCTTGATGGCTACTTTTGACTTTGTTTCAGTATCAATAGCAGATCTGAAAACAGATGAAAAAAGGCATAATTAACCACATCACTGGAATGTCAAGTACAAATTACTTCAATGGTACAATTCTTCAAACCATCGATACAGCATTGTACAGTGCAAGTGTCCTTGGCCCAATGACAATGCATCAAAATTAATCATTTAATTGTGTTTTCTTAAATCAGCGTTTTTTGAAGAGGCAAGTTAATGTCCATTAACACTCATTGATATATTTGATATCAAAAGACACTCAGGTGAGATTCTCTATTTATTAGATTTCATTATCATACAGTAAAGTACGCTTATAACGAACTGACGGATATAACGAACTGATTTTTTTGTCCCGACTATTTGCTATAGTTATGCTGTATATATGCTTATAACAAACTACCATTATAACAAACTAAAGTTAGTGGTCCCTTCGAGTTCGTTATAACCATAGTTTACTGTATATAAAAAAGAAACTTGTAATTTTCTCTCAAGCATGTAAAGTACATCATTAATCTTTTACACAACATATTAATGTCCATTACACCATGACCAATGGGGACCTCTGAACACTAACAAAAGGATCGTGTGACACCTCATCGATAACAACATCTTCTATGCAGAATTTATACAGGGCGTGACAACCTTGTTATTGTCAGAAGCCACTGGAGAACAGAACAGCATCATTGACACAATGCTAATTGGATCTGCGAAAATATTCTTTTTCTAAACATACCGGAGCAAGAAAGGAGTTTACTACCTACCCATGATGCTCCCAGCCTATCATTCAATACACAGCCATGTCAAACATATAACAATCAATGTCTCATGAACATGTATAGTATTATTCAAACCACCTTGTTAGCAGAGGCTCATGGGAAGAATACACACCAACATACAGGAAGTATTTACATGATTAATGATGAATCACCATTATTATCTCATATATGATAGCTACGCGATAAATCACAAAGAAAAATGAAGAACAAACCGTGGTCTATTTCATGATGAAACTTTGTTCTATCATGAGGTCATTTTTGGAGATTCGAACATGCGCTCCAAACTTGATGACGTCATAAATAGGACGTTACTTTTGAGAGGGAAGTGTCTGTGATTGGTTCCGCATAGATCATGATAGATGTTGCTGGACAGCGCAGATGAACGCAATGGCTGAATGGTCGCACCCAAAAGTGGGAGAGATATGACAATCGGTATTGGGAGAAAAGGTGCAGATAATCAACGTGAATACTGTGAGAATACCAAACTTAACCCCCCTGTACATAAAATGGAGTTGTCCGACATTGCTGAGGTCTGATTGTATTCCGGGGAGTCATCATTATTTAAATACGGGTAAATGTTTTTAAAGCTTGTACAATTTATTGACATCCTTAAAAAGGCTTTACAAAATGTTGATATCTCATATAAGAAATGGACGAGTGGGAGTTGTTTCTCGTACAATAAAACACTGCAGAAAGAACAAACCACTAAGGCCTTGTAGCATTGTTATTAAATACTTAAATAGACAACACCATAAAATGCTGTTTAACAATCCACAGGGTTTCAGCATTGCAATACTTAGCATGCTTAGTGCCTCATATAAGCATATTATGAGCATGGTGATGTCATCGCATTGTCATTTATTAACATAAAATTATAAAAAAGATGCAGAACTTATCTAGGAAATGTAAAATGGTATGAAAATGTATTGCCAATTATTTTTCTGACTGCATGGGTTCTAAGAGTTCTCTGATAATGTGAATCTACATGTTTTTGTTAAGTATATTGTGTTTCACATATTGTCTAGATATTGCTTAATTTTGATCTATTTTTTCTCTTTGCTAATCCTTCATACTCACTTTACTGCTGCTATCTTATGCATGAATAACTTCATCGCAATAAAGATGAAATATCGCTCATTCACTACAAGAGTTATCAAGCCACTGTTAATGTAGTATTCACAAGAGTTCTGTTAATGTAATATTCTCTACAAGAGTTCTGTTAATGTAATATTCACTACAAGAGTTTTGTAAATGTAATATTCACAAGAGCTCTGTTAATGTAATATTCACTACAAGAGTTCTGTAAACGTAATATTCACTACAAGAGTTCTGTTAATATAATATTTACAAGAGCTCTGTAAATGTAATATTCACTACAAGAGTTCTGTAAATGTAATATTCACAAGAGCTCTGTTAATGTAATATTCACTCCAAGAGTTCTGTAAATGTAATATTCACTACAAGAGTTCTGTAAATGTAATATTCACTACAAGAGTTCTGTTAATGTAATATTCACTCCAAGAGTTCTGTAAATGTAATATTCACTCCAAGAGTTCTGTAAATGTAATATTCACTACAAGAGTTCTTTTAATGTAATATTCACTACAAGAGTTCTGTTAATGTAATATTCACTCCAAGAGTTCTGTAAATGTAATATTCACTCCAAGAGTTCTGTAAATGTAATATTCACTACAAGAGTTCTTTTAATGTAATATTCACTACAAGAGTTCTGTTAATGTAATATTCACTCCAAGAGTTCTGTAAATGTAATATTCACTCCAAGAGTTCTGTAAATGTAATATTCACTACAAGAGTTCTTTTAATGTAATATTCACTACAAGAGTTCTTTTAATGTAATATTCACTACAAGAGTTCTGTAAATGTAATATTCACTACAAGAGTTCTTTTAATGTAATATTCACTACAAGAGTTCTGTTAATGTAATATTCACTCCAAGAGTTCTGTAAATGTAATATTCACTCCAAGAGTTCTGTAAATGTAATATTCACTACAAGAGTTCTTTTAATGTAATATTCACTCCAAGAGTTCTGTAAATGTAATATTCACTCCAAGAGTTCTGTAAATGTAATATTCACTACAAGAGTTCTTTTAATGTAATATTCACTACAAGAGTTCTTTTAATGTAATATTCACTCCAAGAGTTCTTTTAATGTAATATTCACTACAAGAGTTCTTTTAATGTAATATTCACTCCAAGAGTTCTGTAAATGTAATATTCACTACAAGAGTTCTTTTAATGTAATATTCACTACAAGAGTTCTTTTAATGTAATATTCACTCCAAGAGTTCTTTTAATGTAATATTCACTACAAGAGTTCTGTTAATGTAATATTCACTACAAGAGTTCTGTAAATGTAATATTCACTACAAGAGTTCTTTTAATGTAATATTCACTACAAGAGTTCTGTTAATGTAATATTCACTACAAGAGTTCTTTTAATGTAATATTCACTACAAGAGTTCTTTTAATGTAATATTCACTACAAGAGTTCTGTTAATGTAATATTCACTCCAAGAGTTCTGTAAATGTAATATTCACTACAAGAGTTCTGTTAATGTAATATTCACTACAAGAGTTCTGTTAATGTAATATTCACTACAAGAGTTCTTTTAATGTAATATTCACTACAAGAGTTCTGTAAATGTAATATTCACTACAAGAGTTCTGTTAATGTAATATTCACTACAAGAGTTCTTTTAATGTAATATTCACTACAAGAGTTCTTTTAATGTAATATTCACTCAAAGAGTTCTGTAAATGTAATATTCACAAGAGCTCTGTTAATGTAATATTCACTACAAGAGTTCTTTTAATGTAATATTCACTACAAGAGTTCTGTAAATGTAATATTCACTACAAGAGTTCTGTTAATGTAATATTCACTACAAGAGTTCTGTAAATGTAATATTCACTACAAGAGTTCTGTTAATGTAATATTCACTACAAGAGTTCTGTAAATGTAATATTCACTACAAGAGTTCTGTTAATGTAATATTCACTACAAGAGTTCTGTTAATGTAATATTCACTACAAGAGTTCTGTTAATGTAATATTCACTACAAGAGTTCTGTAAATGTAATATTCACTACAAGAGTTCTGTAAATGTAATATTCACTACAAGAGTTCTGTAAATGTAATATTCACTACAAGAGTTCTGTAAATGTAATATTCACTAGAGTTTTCCAACCACTAACTGTTTACTTCTTCTGAAATTCATTCGGAAAGTAATATCTGAACATGATAAACATCATAAGCACTTCCAACATTTCCAGTTAGCATGATCAGTGTACGTGATGCCATGGCCGATAAAGAGAACGCTTCTCAGCTTTGCCTTGTGGTAATTGGTACTCAGTCTTTGCCTGCACTTGTACCATTGTAGCAGATTCTATTCCTTTCAGGGCTTGATGTAAGGAACCTGACTTAATTTGCACCAGGTACATATTGACATGAAAATCCAGTTGCACAAGACAAAACCAGGTTGCACCCATTTATCAAAGTTGAAACATTGGCTGGTCTACTGCAAGTTTCACATAAATTAATGACGTATTGCTGTAAAACATAATAGGAACATGTGCACCAAATCTTGGAGTACCCACAGTTTGATGATGTAAAAACCCACGAAAGCATGACAAATTACATATACCGTATTCGACGTAATAAGCGCCCAGGGCGCTCTCAAACTAAGAAATAGGGGGCTCTTATTAGAATATTATTTTTGTGAAAAAAACAGAGTTAAAAGATAAATTTCGTGGTTTATGCTGACAGCCTTAAATGTTTATATACGACAGATATATTTTTCCAGAATTTATTTGCCAATAATTAAGGGTGCATATAACACACGAGTGCGTATTATAAGCGAATAAATAAGTCTTGTGTACATTGATCAATCGGAAGGGGTGCTAATTGGGTTTGTTCACTAGCCAATCTATTAGCAAATATCGCCGTGGGCGCTTATTAGAGCGGGGCGCTTATTACGTCGAATACGGTAATGTCGGTATTAGTGATGTAGTATAGTAAACAAACCTTAGAGGTATTGAATGCACTCAAAGATTCATGTTGTGTGGACAAGTTAGGGTTAGGCAGACACAAATAACAATTGTTTTGACATGCATGTTGACACAAATATTTGGTTGCATTTTCAATAATAGGTTGCACTGGTGCATGTTTTCTATTGTTAAAATAACTTAATAAGCCCTGTTTACTAGTCATATTGGGTACTGTCTA